CACCCGCCAAACCGGAAAACTAAGAATTCTGTTGACCCACTTTCATCCATTACAAACAATGGGGAACGTGGTGACAAAACTTGTATGTAATCCGATTTTAAAGGCTATCCCCATGTTTTTCATAGACAAGGTTAATTTATATTATTCCCCAGCTATTGAAAAAAATTACAACTACAGGCGAATTTTATTTTTCATTTTACGAGAAAACGGTAATTCTGGCAATGTTTAGGTATAATATGGTTGGTGCATCTGAAGAAAAAATCCAAAAATAAATAATGAATAAAATCTCCAAGGGAGATATTATACAATTTTTTAAAAATAATATAATAGTTTTTTCAATGGATAATTTTGTGATAAAATTTCAAGATATATTATTTTTGTGAAATTTTTCAACTGAAAAAATCTTCACTGACATTTGTGCATACATGAGTTAGAAATTTCATTGAGGAAAAACATTAAATTCCGTTGCTAATACGTTATTCGTTGACTTGAAGTTTTGGATTAATCGTCGCCGGACGATTGAAAAAAAATCATTTATTTAGATTATTGCACTTGAATTAGAAGCAATTGACGACTGGAGAAGGAAAATGAGTTGCCTGCTTGACACTAATGGAAAAACCCGCCGGAAAATAATATTTATCATTGCAGATATAAAATTTTTGATCCGCCCATTGAATTCCCATCAGGGAATTCCAGTGATAAGTATAAAAAAAATATCCACTTGAAACTATTGTGATCTGCACCGTTTGTTGTACATGGTTTTTTATCTTTTTATTATTTTTTTTTTTTCGGCCGTCTATGTTATCCAACTCAACGAGACTTGCTCTCCGTAGAAACAATTGCACTCATGATACATTTGACCTCTAACCGGCGGCATTACCGAGTAGATAACATAACAGATGAGGGTCCTGCCGTGCTTATATGCTATACTGGACGATTGGCGATTGCAATCGATCCATGTCGCTACTTTACCATCTCAACGATACTTGAGGCACGAAAAATTTTTATTCATAAACCCATGACAAACTCGCTAATAGTCAGCTAGAATTCTATTGAATTTCTATTTTCCCTTGGTAGAGTGTCGTTCTATAAATCCCATTGTCCAATAACTCGACATATTAACTTGACTAACAGGTCAAGGATTATTTCATTGATAAATAAGAAAGCAGCAGTTAACTATTTCTCCATGTAAGCCATGTCTTTGGATTTTCAATAGTAATAGTATCGATGTCTTGATTAGTGAATCCTCTGGTCGACATCCTGGGAATAACGTTTGTGAGAATATGAGAATATCCGTGACCGCCGAATTGTATCTAAAAAATGGAAAATATTAATTACATTGATGATGATGATTGCAATTTTCAAGTATTAATCGTTGCACCGACGTACCAGCCGGTGTTTGGTATGAATATCATGACTCATAAGAATCTGTTCAACACCTCTCTCCTCATAAATCCACTTGATCCTATTGAGGCGTTCGGCGTCTGAAGGCATCTCAGTGGATTCATCCAGTTGGTAGTACGAACACTCGATCCCAAAGAGATCAAATTGACAATAGCAGTCGAATTTCGCAAACTCCATTAACGCTTCCTTGGTTTTTATTGTTCCTGAGGTATTCAGTTAGTGTAGTTGCAGACTAATTTGAGTTAGTCGATTTATAAAGTAGTAAATCATGATAATTTTTTATATCCTTACTATCCAGATGGGACATGATGGCCTTCTTCGGGTCCCCACCAGCTTCCAAATAAATATTCATTATTTCAAATGGTGCTTGAGTATTTCTACCAGGATGAAATGTCACAGGACAGCCCAACTGACGTTGAACAGTTGCTGTCGCACGAATTGCAATTTTTTCAAAGTCTAAAAATCATTTTAGGAAGGAGTCCATGAATCTATTTTACATTATCATCATTATATATCGAGGAATAAAAATCAATTTACCAGTTATCGGCCATGAGCTTCCAACTTCACCGATGAATCCTGCCTTTATACTTGGGTAGTCCATGCAGCCTTTTGTCAATTCGTTCATCATGACATTGTGCATCTGTTCCTCAGTTAACTTTAGAGTACTCGGAGCTTGCGTGGCCTCCACGTAATACCCTTGAACAGTACAATTTTTGGGTTGTTCTTTTTCGAATCTATACATGCCCTAGTTCATATTCATATTCATATTCATATAAAAAAAAAGCTACATACCACTGCCGACAATGACATGAACCCCAGTGTCGTTACTAATTTTTTTCATCAAAGAAAGGTCCCTTTGGATTCCACAAGTTGTGTTATCGACAATCGTACCCCCTCCATTTTTCTTATAAATCATGACATCTTCAATGACGGCTTTACTCGCGTCCTCGTCGTAAAAATTCACGTTGTAACGACTGCTGTATCTGGAGGAATATTTGTGGTGTCGAATATCACGAGAGTTACATATGAGAGGTCGAACATGGCGAGTCAAATGTTATGTGTTAATTTCATCAAAGTCGAACAAAATGAAAGATGAATAATTTTTCTCAATCCTTGTGCGTAAAGTGAAATTTTACACTTTAAGCTTCCCCTCTATTTAACACATTACTTTCCACCCTTTATTGGATATATTGGATATATTGGACTCGCAACATCTTTGAGTTTTTCAATATAAAAAATCAAGACTCACGGATATTGCTTGACATATCCGACATTATTCAATGCAATTTTTTTCTGGAAATAAGCGGCCAGTGGCTTTGGTGGAGGTACATAGAATCGATGGAAATCCATCGCTAGATGTTCATGAGTCAGCGTCCTTCCTAATTGGGAGAGCTCCACCGGCCCTAGAACTGCATTGTCCAAAGATTAAATTAAACATTATTCTTCAATGAGCGTCTTTTCCAAGCTCTTTCAAGCTTTTACTCGTTAAAATTAAATAACTTTTCCAATTTTTTATTTTAGGCTAACTAAATAATGAATATTATAAAAAGTCGGATAATGCATTTTTTAAAGAGTATATACCTATATAAAAATCAATACATTAATGATAAAAATAATAGAGGACAATGGATATTTAAAACTTGAAGCCCGGCCCACAAAAACTCATGAAAAACTCTCTATTGCTTCTTTTATTTTTGAATATGTCATTCATTTGGCTTGGTGGATTGAAATTTTAATGAAAATAAAAAGTGTTTGAATGCTTGCGATTTTGGATAAATTACCAGTTTCTATAGTAGCAGCTTCCATTGGCGGCAGCTCCTCCAGACGTCTGCATTGAAAATCGTTTTATCTCTTTGGCACTCCTGAGATACAGTATTGTTATCAGAAAATAAATAGCGCCAATGACCTTCCAATCGCGTGAACCGATTATAAAATATGAAAGGTTGAATATATTCACAATTTCCTGCTGGCGATAAATAAAGTAGTCTGGTGCATGGAGCCCAGTACATATATAAAATTGCAAAAGGCGAATGTACAGAAGAATCATTTCTGCTCTTGCTCTCAATGTGCGCGATGAGTTCAATGGTCAGCCCCTTCCACAATAGAATATGCTATTTTATTCGCCTAATTGTCATTGGCGCATGCAGTGATGATACCAATATGCTTTAATTGACTTATTGGTGTATATATATGTATGATTCAAGGTGTCGGTAATTTCGTTAGGCACTCTATCTTGGCATGATTAATTAAGGTATATATTATCTCGAGACAATACCACTCAAAAGTTGAAAAAATCAATATCACATACACCAGATAATATCACCAGAGAAAAAAATGTTACGCGATTAGATAGTAATGATCTGCAATGAAGATAGCAAGTTTCAGGTGAGGCTCACTGCAGTGCATTTTCAGTAATATGATACGTACAAAATGTTTGACAATGTTTTCCCCATACATAAATGTTGTCACTCTCTTATTGACTATTTTCCATTTGGTAAACTTCGGAGAGACGCAGGATTGTTCGGAATTCGTGGGTAAATAATTTCTACCCTGTCTTCCTATTTCTCTTTAATTTCTAGTATTTCGTTTGCAAAAAAAAAAAAAAAAAAAAAAAAGGAAAAAAAAAGAAACTCCCCATCATCTTCCTTATGATCGTCCTTATTCTGCTCTTCAAGGTTTGGGTGGCAGTTGCCTTTGTTCAAAATGTTATCCAGGCCTGGAATGCTCCACAAACAATATATGTACTCAAGGTAAATAAAATGAAATAACGTTTTTCAAGTTTATCTGCATCTGTGTACTATATTGATTTTTCATGTGACAATTTCGTTTCGACAATTATCCAATGCAGTTACTTGCACCTCCAATCAATGGACAAACCTCCCCTGGAGGCCTTTGTGTGATGCAAATGGCACATACTCGGCGAAACAGTGCAAGGGTGACAAAGCCACTGGTAGATGTTTCTGTTATAGTCCGGAAGGAGAGAGAATCTTTGGATGGTCATGGTGGAAGAATGCCGATAACATGACTTGTGGTAAATTAATCAAGCCCCATCATTTATCTCTCTCAGATTTTTATGAGGTATGAAAGGGAAGGATGAAAAATATCGGGGTGAATAACTGTACTCTTCTAGGATTAGAAAGTTGTTCGGCGGGGAACAACTGCCATGTTTTATACTACCCAACTCTAGTCTCTAGTAGTTGTTATATTAGAGAGCTATATCATTATCCATGTTTTTTTTTTCAAGCCTGCGCGAGAACAAGAGAACAAGTGAAAGCCACCAGATTAGATCTATCCCTTCACTGCGATGAAAACGGAAATTATGATGAGTTGCAGTGTGATAATGGTTTATGTTGGTGTGCTAGTCCAAAAACCGGACAACCTCTCGAGAGGATTTTCCCTGAATCTATGATGGAATATCTACCCTGTTGTGAGTCTGCTTCTTTGCACTTGAAATCAGTTCATCATCTGTCTGAATTTCTTCAAGATCATTTTATTACTTTCAGATAAAAGCGATCAAGTTGGTGCGCAATACTGGCGACAATGCGAAAGCAAGGGAATCGCTGCTCAGAAGATTCTGGAAAAACTGACGGCTCGAGGACGACTGTATTCATTCATTCAGGATGCACTGTGTGATGGTGATGGAAGCTATGCGCCGTTAAGAGTTGATAGGAAAACGTATTGAATGTTTTACAGCTTTCATCTCACAATTATTTCATAAAAAGAGTGGAGTGGAGTTATTTTGGACATTTGTTCGTAGGGTATTTTGTACCTGGAAGAATTCAAGCAGAATTGACAATTACCAAAATCCCATTGGAAATGTGAGAGCCATGAACTGCAGTAAGCACATTTCAATATCTTTTTAACAAATCTCACAATTTTTTCAGAGTGTCAAATGTCAAGTGTTAAATATTGCGAGAATGGGAGAATATAACACGGTATATGGTCGTGGATTGTTTAGGCAATGGTGTGTGTGTGTGTGTGTGTATTATACCAAATTAATTATCACAACATATCACCAATAATAATAATAATCATTATCACAGTGTTGTTACAATTTTTTTCAGATTGTGCAAGAGATACAAAAATTTTTACTGACGAAAAATTGGAGAACCTCCTCACCTGCGAGACGAATGGGAATTATGAGGCCCTTCAATTTAGTAATGGGCGTCCTTTCTGTGTTGACAGCGATGGGTATGCAATCTCAGGTCTTGGAGGATGGGGAGATTCGTGGTGTCCTACATAAGAATATATAATGGATTCTTCAATTTTTCTATTCGATAATTACTATACTTTTCAAATAATTTTTCTAAAATAAAATTGAAAAATGATAACTGTAAGCATTATTTGATGAAATTGTCAGCTCTATATTCATCATAAATAATAATAAACTACTTACATATAAGAAAATTAAAATAGCAAGTGTGTAGTATTAGTTAGTGCCTCTGAGTGTTTTCCAATAGAATTTTTTAGCCAATTCCCTAGGTTCGCATTTAAGTCTGATATATCACCACACAAGTGAATAATTCTGCACAAAAAGTAAGGTTTTCCCTTGTTCTTCAGCGAATGCGGTACAGGGGGTTGGAGAGAAAAATTTTATTTTCTTTGGTTCATGGTTCTGTTTATTTAGAGGGTAAAGAAAAACCTCCTAGTACCTTTTGAACATTTCGCTTGAAATAAAACACGCAAATAAGCTGTAAAATCTATTAGGAGAATCGGCCAAAAACTATAATAGAAAATTTCATAGAAATCCAATAGAATTTTCTAACGAATTTGTTACGTTTTCCAATGAAATTTTTCAATACTAAGGAAAACTTACCAACTAAATTTTCCCGCCTTTTCTACGCCCATATCAGGGCCGTATCACCATCGGCCTCCAAGGTCAAAACAATTGTCTCAAATAGGCACTTTACGATATTCAATACTCCAGTCTTGCTCGATGCCACGCGGTTGTCAAAACATCAACGGGGAGTTTAGTTGACATCAGTGTTTGCACTCAATTTCCAAAATATTCCCGGATTTCACGGTCAGCACATTCACCTGTGACTTGAGAGACCAGTGGTGAAGAAAAAAAAAAACATCCGGAAATGGATCACTTATTCAGTGACGTCCCTGGTGTCAAGACTCAAAATGTTATTTTAAATGACAATTTGGAACTGTGGATGACGAGACTCCCGCCATATCTCAAATCAATACCCATAATACATCTTGCTATACCCGGTATGTTGGAAACAATTAATCAATTAGAATTTCGCGCCCTTAATTCTCAGCTAAAAAGTCATGGAAAAATTTGAAAGATGCCTTAAAAAATTCCTTCTTTTTATAAAAATTAAATCAAGTTAATTGAAGCTAATCTCAAGTGGATAAATAATTTGAAAACATACGTAAAAATACATATGTGTTGCATATTTTAGAATATTTTTCAAAATTATTTATCCTCTTGAAATCACCTTGAACCTTGTTTCATTCACTTTGGCTGACAAGTTTTTTTTTTCTTTTTTCCTATACTTCCGAAGCCTCTTAATATTGTAATACAATTTTTTATTTTAGAAAAAAAACAAAAAAAGAGCCAAATTTTTGAGCCATCTTTTTTTCACAGTTAAAATTGGATAGTTTTTTCGGGCCACTGCCCCAATTGCAAGAATATGGTGAATATGGTGCAATTGTCTCGTCATCATCATTGAATTAATAATTAATAATTATCGATTTTATTTTTGCAAAATATGAACTCATAGAAACAAAGAAGCTTTTACATAACATGGCACATGACGCACCTCATTACATGATCTAATAGCCCTGGCGAATGATAAATGAAAATAATGTTCGAGCCAACAGGTTCCCACAACACAATGACGTACACAATAAGCCGTTTCAACGATGTGGGACCTGACGAGCCGCAGTACCTCCGGTTTTTGGGTCGTTACTTGTCCCTGCTATCAAAACCAGTGATATTTAATTGGTCGGTGACCCAATACGACGACATAAAGGGCCAATTGACCGGTGGAATTCGTTATTTGGATCTGCGTTTGGCAACGAAACCCAATGATCATCAGATTTATTTTCTTCACGGTCTTTACGGGGATACTGTTGCATCACACCTTAAGGATATTTCAGATTGGCTGAAGGAGCATCCAGAGGAAGTGATAATATTAGACTTTCAGCACTTTTACTCCTTCAATTTAAATAATCATATGAGTCTCGTGACAATCATTAAGAATATATTTGGGACGAGAATTTGCCCAGTTTCCGGGATTCTATCGAGCATCAGCATTGATTGGATGGTGAGGAGGGGCTACCAGGTGATCATCATCTACAGGAATGAGATTGCCAGACTCGAGAATGACTTGTGGCCCTCGGGCCTGTGGCCGACACCCTGGCCCAATACCACTGATGCCACCGAGTTGATTGATTTTTTGGACTCGAGACTAGGCACTAGACTACCAGACACTGGATATGTCTCTCAGTGCCTGTTGACACCTGACACTAAGTATGTCCTGAGGCATCTCTGTGGGAGCCTTCACAGGGATTTGGCTGTCAAGTGTCGGGAGGTTTCGATACCTTGGCTGGAGGGACATTATCCGGGAGACGGGGGGATGAACATTGTCATCACTGATTATGTTTCTTTCAACAATTTCCAATTTTCCAGGCTTGTCATTCAGAGGAATAGAGAATTGCTGCAGCATACACATTCGTTCTCATTATCTTAGAAATTCAATGACAAATCAATATTATTTGTAAAACAATTATTGTTTATTATTTTATGTACAATAAATTATGTATTTTATTAAACACCGAATTACTCTCATCTGGTGCTTGGAGGATACCGTCGTCATTACATCATGTTTAATTTAATAATCGCAAAAATTTCAATAACTCAAAAAAATTGGAAGGATCTCCATTCAATAATTAGTATTAAACGACTAGAAAAAATGATTTTGTAAAAATTCAATTTTTCTAACAATAGCTACTTTAAAATTTTTTTAAAAAATGTTCTCATGATTTATTCCACTCGATATTTCCTTTTTTCACTCAATTACCACTGAATTCATTTAATGATTAATTACATTTGTGTATACATATAAATGGATCTGTTTTTCTTTAAAAAATAGCCAGAAAAACTGATTTTCAGTCATTCAAAATGGCATTCAATGCGAATGACTTCAGTCCAGCATCCTCTCGAGGATTCAAAAAAAAAAAACACAAATAATGTTAAAATTCGATCGCTGCAACGGTTTATGGATCACAATGCCTTGACCTTAAGCTGCTTCATTCTGGGTGCCCTCTTTTTGGCTAATCTCTTCTGCTCCTTCTCCTCCCACTTTCTCTGCTTGTCAGGATCCTCTTCCTGAAGGATTCTCTCCTTCTCTGCACGTCTCTTCTCTTCGCGTTTCTGGGCTGCTGCTTCTGCACGAGCTGCATGGGTCGATTTTAGGAATGCTTCCTCGACTCGTAAACGATTTTTGTCGGATTTCGTCTTTCCCTGGATTAAATCCAACAATGAATTGTTGGAATTTTTTAGAAAATACTTTATCAATTTGATGAGCGATTGAAATGATTTTTTTATTAATCATGGGTTAATTCAGGGATGAAAAAAAAGAATTTTTTGGATGAAAAGTTTGAATTTTTTACCTCTTTCGACAGTTTAAATCTTCTCAACTTATCCAAAAGATAGAACGATAGCTGCAATAATTGTCTCATTTTTTCCTGATTTTCACCTGTAAGTAGTTTACCCTTTATACTGATGTTCAATCCAATGAGAAGAACTCGTTTGACATCTGGCATTGCTAATTGTCCACTCTCTCTGAAAGAATAAAAGCAATCACAAAAGCAATTAATCTATGTACATTATCCCATTTTTGTTCGCTATATTTTTTTTCTCTTCTCTCATGAAAAGGATCAAATTTGAGCGGAGAAATCCACTTCTATCTGTCCATCATTTCTCGAGCAAGAATTTGTTTTTTGCCATTAAAATTGCTCACACCATCAGCAACAATTAGAAGACATAAATAAATGAATACTCACTCCTGCTGCTTAGGTCCACTGAATTGATCGCTGATATGTACATAATCCACTAGCTGTGCATACTTATTAATCGCCTGCAGAACTCTGGCATCTAAAATGGCACTGGTTGCCTCCGCAATCTCTGACATGACGAAAAACCCTGGAGGCAGTCCAAACTTGTCCCCAGGCCTTTTTTCAGGGCAGTAAGTCGCGATATCCGCAATATCCTTGGTCAGATGCATTGCAGTCTTTTTAGTAGCAACAGCTAGGACAAAATTATCACTCTCGTCTTTGGAGAGTTCAATCTTAAGAAGTGCCTGATCATTCTGGGGCCTCAAGATTTGAGACAGAACTGCCACCAAATCCTGTCGTTTTATTAGTTTTAATTCTATGAGCATGGAGTCACAGCCCACCCTTCCAGAGCAGTAAATCTCGTACTGGGACTCTGACTCCTTGACGAGACCGTTGTTGTCGTCCTCCTCGATGCTTATACCAGTGTCACCCACGAGTGAAAAATTATCCCTCAAAATTTTCTTGTTGTCCTGTAGCCACTTTTCGCAGATCCGGAGGTTTTTCGATCTTCCAGCAAGGTAATTTATAAAGTACACGAGGAGACCTGTCACCATGAGGATCTCCAGATAAAAGCTGTCCCATCTGGCTCGCAAGTGCAACGGAACTTTGGTTATCGTCAGGGTCGAGGGCTCCTCCTGCTTGCCATTTCCACCCCTGGGGGTCGACTCGAGACCCTCAAATTCTTCTTCATCCTGTGGGAGGGAATGCAAAATTAGTCAGTGGTAGCAAGTCTACACATATATATACAGACAATATTCTACAAAAAAAATTCGATAGAATTTCATTTTTTATTTTGTATAGAAATTCGGTAGAAAGAAGAGGAAAATAGAGTGGTGAATTCATGTTTAAAAATTGCTACAGAAAATGTATCAATATTTCATCTCGACCTGGAAGTGATCAAACTCGGAGTCCACGTCGTCCTCCACCAGGGCGTCGTCCTCCTCAAACATCTCCTCGGAAGGTGAGGGGGAAGGGGAGGGGGAGAAGGAGGAGGGAGAGGACTCCAGGGGCTTGTTCTTCTTCTGGTGGTGGTGCGTCTGCACGTCGTCAAAATCCTCAAACTCGGCAAACTCGTTATCCTCCAGATCCTCGTGGAAGTGGGCAGATGCCCAGAGATTTGAACCCACCAGGAGAATGTGTAGGCTCACTAGCCACAGTCTCATGGCTTCCTGTAACAGCGAACATGGGGTTTAAATGATTTTTTTTTCTTTTTTTAAAGTTCGTCTTTCGTTATTCCTTTTAATTTTCCATTTTATTCCATTTACTTAATTTTTTTTTCTACTCTCAAATTCTTATATTCAATTATATATGTCTTTTTGTAATTGAAAATTTGAGTATCGCGCCAATTTTTTCACTATTTTTTGAGCATTTAATAATTAATAAAAATCTTGAAACATTTCTTCAAAACAAAAAATAAAAAATCGGCCAATTCTGACTTGTTCTCATCATTTGGGAGCAACTTTGAGGTTACTCATGAATGAAAATTTTACATTTATTCCACAATCAAACAACAGAATATTTGCTGTACTTCTGCCAATCAACTCACAGTTTTTTTTTTAAATTCGCTTGATGTATAAATGAACTTGCTATTTCTTCCTATCTCCACATAGATACTCGTGTAATCCGGTTAATTAGGCCGCTACTGGGTATTTTTCTTGAATAGATATAGCCAAGTGACTTGCAAGACACGAAGTCAGTCACGGGACAGGGCGGTGAGCGCGAGGGGAGTGTGTGGCGACTGGCGACTGGCGTCAGAGTTCAAACACCCGGCGCCGCAGCAACCCCAACAAATCAATTATCTAAAAACCTCAATCTTTGTAATATTCCTTCATTTCTCCCCTATTCACGTAAAAACTTAATAAAAGTAACAAAAAAAATCAATATTGACAATTTTCAGTTGCGGTTAATCTCAATTATTGTCTAATAATGTCTAATAATTATGGAGAAAATTCTACTGATTTTTCCTATTAAATAATTTTCATTGACAATATCTGATTAAACATTTTATTCAACAAAAATACAAATTTTACAAAAAAATTATAATTTTCAACTTGTTTTCTATCATCAATAATAGCTGAATATACCAGCTCCTCTCCTCCTCCATCTCTAATCGATCACCGGCTCCACTACGACGTGTGCACAACTTCACACGGTATTGCTGACACCAGAGTCAGACCTCTCATTCGTAAATACGTGCCTGTGCGGGACGATGTGTCCCCTCCCCTCCTTGAGTGCATTAAAATCCTGAAAATACCGGCTAAATCCCACGAACCATTGCCCCCTCAGTAAGTGCCAAATTCCCCCCTGGTATCTCCTGGAAAAATAGCCCGATAATCTCCAAAAAGTGATTAAAATGTCGTGCAAACTGTGAGTGTCACGATGACAACCGTTTGTTGAAAGCAATTGGACTGAAACAATGGATCAATATCACCACCTCATACTCAAGCGGCAAACATAAAGTTAAACGTGGTGTGTCTCTCAAATTGCAAAAAAAAATCACTATAGAGAATAAATCAACTATGGAAAAGGAGAATAATCAGGGGAAGCCCCCGAAACGTAAATCGGCCAAGGCCCCACTAATCTCCGAAGTCGGTACACAGTGTGTCCAGGTAGTGGTGCGATGTCGTCCGATGGATGAGAAAGAGCAATCGAAAAACTACTCCAAGGTGGTTGAGGTTTGCCCCTCGCGTGGAGTCGTGGAGATTCGTAATCCCCGAGAGGATCCAAGCCGCGACAATACCAAGGTTTTCACCTTCGACGCAGTATACGACCACCACTCGTCTCAGCAGGAGCTCTACGAGGAAACAGTCCGGCCACTTGTCTCATCAGTACTCGATGGCTTCAACGGCACAATTTTCGCTTATGGCCAGACCGGAACCGGAAAGACGTACACAATGGAGGGTGGAGGAGGAATGATGAAGGATGACTACTCTGAACGGAGGGGAATAATTCCCCGGTCATTCGAGCACATCTTCAGTCACATAGGAAGATCGGAGAACATGCAGTACCTAGTAAGAGCGAGCTATTTGGAGATATATCAGGAGGAGATCCGAGATCTTCTGCAGTCGGACCAATCCCTGCGCTTCGAGCTCAAGGAGAAGCCAGAGTCCGGGATATTCGTCAAGGACCTATCGTCCGTTATCTGCAAAAGCGCCCAGGAGATTCAGCAACTCATGAACAAGGGAAACCTCAACCGAACAATTGGCGCTACCAATATGAATGAACACAGTTCTAGATCTCATGCCATTTTTCTCATTACCATTGAGATGGGATCAATGGGGGTAGAGAGTGTTGGTGTTGGCGGTGTTGGCGGTAATGGCGGTGGCAATGGCGGTGGCAATGGCGGTGGCATTCGGGTGGGTCGACTAAACCTCGTGGATTTGGCTGGAAGTGAAAGGCAAAGTAAGACTGGTTCCTGTGGGGATAGACTCAAGGAAGCTAGTAAAATAAATCTCAGCTTATCGGCACTTGGCAATGTCATCTCGGCGCTGGTCGATGGAAAAACTTCGCATGTGCCTTATAGAGATTCAAAGCTGACGCGATTACTCCAAGACTCGTTGGGGGGTAATTCCAAGACAATTATGGTAGCCAATATTGGCCCGGCATCGTACAATTATGACGAGACATTGACAACTTTGAGATACGCTAATAGAGCTAAGAATATAAAAAACAAGCCGAGAATCAATGAAGATCCTAAGGATGCATTGCTCCGTCAGTATCAGGAAGAGATATCACGACTCAAGGAGAAGTTACTGCTCAAGGGAACGACTCCGAGCAAAAAGAAGACGAGACGATCCAAGAAGCCCAAGGTTGATAATGATGATGATGATGATAATGAACAAGAGTCCGCCGAGTCGGACTCGGCTATCGATGACAGCAGAGAGGACAACAAAGTCTCTGAGGCGGACAAGAAACTCATAATGGAGCAGTTGAGAGCTGAGAAGCAAGAGGCTCAAGACTTGGTATTAAGAATCAAAGATCTCGAAAGTAAGATGCTTTGTGGTGGTAAAAACATTATTGATCATACCAATGAACAGCAGAGGGCACTGGAGCAGAGAGCGACGGAGATCGCTGAGAGGAAGAAGCGAGAGGTCGAGATGCAGCAAAAGTTGGAGGACGAGGAGTCGACGACTCTTGGAGTCAGAGAGACTTACACCACTCTTCAGCAGGAGGTCGACGTCAAGTCAAAGAAGCTGCGCAAATGTTTTGCCAAGTTGCAGGCCCTCAAACAAGAGCTTGAAGATATCAATGATGAGTACAACAGGGATCGAAGGGAGTTTGAGGAGACACAACACGACTTGATGAAGGAACTCAAGCTCAAGTTCCTCATAATCGATAACTTCATTCCTGCCGAGGAGAAGAACAAGATTCTGAGTCGTGTAAAGTTCGATGAGGAGGAGGACACCTGGCTAATCAAGGAGTCATCTCCATCGACTGTTGATCTCATAAAACGGCCAACATCTGTCCCAGGGGCAAGGAGACCTGTCTCAGAATACGCAAAGATTGCCCTCGCCATGGGACGGGGGGGAGGCTACAGATACGCTGGTGAAAACATTCTCAATTTGGAGCTGGACATGCCTGCTAGAACAACTCTCGATTATCAAGGACCTGCCATTGCCCCGACAATCCAGGCTGTTCTTGAAGAGGCCCTCAGGGACGAGGGGGACATTGATGTCGATGCGGCCAGACTGAGGACCCCAAAACTCAGAATTCCCAGTGCCAGACAGAGACCCAGGAGTGTTGGAAAGATTCCCCACATGCAGATACCTCCGCCTGTCTATCCCAAAACAAGGGGATTAGTGCCCAAATAGAGTCAGATGTAAAAAATATCTTTTTAGTTTTTTCTTTGTTATTGCTCTGTATTTGCACTGTATTTGTCTAGTCAAAATTCAAAATATTAAATATGAAAAACAATATATATAGGTATACCAGAAAAATTAATGAAATGCTTGGAAAATTTATCAGCTAATTTTTTTTCGCAAACGCAATATTTGTCTGTTTTTTAATACAAACAATAGGAAATATCTCTATTATTAGATTCGACGAGTTTGTTGTAAATACTCGCTTCTGTATTTAAAATAATTTATTAAAAATATTCTTTTGCGATGATACCCGTTGATCTGCTGATGACATTAGTAGACTGAAATAAATGAATCAACTCCAATGGCAATTGTTCCTCTCTAGTCATTACAATTGAAATAAATCCACTAAAAATATATTTAAAAAACAACCACTGCTGATTATTCTTGTTTTCAATCATAAAAGAATGTAATTGAATCATGTATTTTTTTTCATTAAAGGTATAGTACAAGTTTACATACCAGTGTATCATTATTATTATTATTATTTTCATTATGATTTTTAATATCTTAAAAACTAAACGAAAAATAATGAATCACCTTCGAAGAGAAGTATATCAATAAACATTAATCACTCACATGTATTCAATCGTACCACTTTTATCTTATTTGTAAAGAATTGTCATTTTTTCACGTGAACGGCCTCCGTAAAAAAATATACCAATTTCTTTTTGAATGAAAGGAAAAATAAAAATAACAAAAAAAAAGGCAAAACGTCTCTTTCACTGAATCAATGAACCAATAAAAACCACCATTAACACGTCTGACAATTGATTTAAAAAAGACAGTATCTATTCATACGCTCCACGGTAACTGACCGATTTTGACAAAGTTTTCAACTCTGAAAGCAGAGTTCAAATTCAAAGTTCATAACAGTGGATCGACGGTAAAATTGACCACGGAGCGTGCGAATAGACACTGCTTCAAAAAAAAACCAATGTTGTTGAAACAGCACAGAATATGAAGTCATTTCAATGAAGAATATTAACAAATTAATAAAACCTTTGCTGCTGTGAGTAATTTCCATATTGACTCTGCTGGGGATATCCAATTGGCGCAGGACCAGGTACTTGTTGATACTGATTCTGATTCTGATTCTGATTGTGATACATCTGAGGATACTGAGTCTGCTGTGGATGAGTTGAAGGTGGGCCATACTGTCCCTGATTCATGTTCCCATAGTTAGCCTGTGGATTATAATTATTATATCCATTGTTCATGCTCATCGGATTAACGTAACCCTGATTGTTGAAGCTCTGCTGCTGTTGACTGAACTGATTTCCAAACTGATTGTGCGCAATTGCTGCTGCAGCTGCTGTTGATGCTGCATAAGACACAGGATTATTATGCTGTTGTTGGGAGGAGGGTGGCAGCTGAGGAGTCTGAAGGTTTGGTATGGGATAGCCCTGGGCTGGAAAGGATTGGGGAATGGAAACACTTGTCGAGCCCGGGGGTGCTGGATCTTTGTTGTTGAGTGCCTTGTCCTCCCTCCTCTCAGGATTCATGTGGCTCTTTACCACGTATTTGTTTGGAAGATCTCCCATGATGTTTGCAATGAGACGTTTGGTCTCATTGAGAATAGCTGTGGGATCACTGGACTTTGCTCCCCCTCCCCCTCCCCTACCCCCGCCACCATCCTTTGACTTTGGTGACTTTGATCTGGATCTTGACCATGAGCGTGATGAGTTGGATCTGGAATCTGGTGTATGCTTTCTCGCCTTCTCACTCTCCACTACATTCTTGTCAGCAGCTTTGTAGATGTCTTCGTACGAGTAATCATCATCGTCATCGGAAAGATCGATTTTCTTGTTCTTATTCTCGTCCTTTTTCTTTCGGAGCTCCTCTTCATCATCGGCGAACATGTCCAGCTGGGGCTTCCACTTGGCGTGATCATCGTCGGTGGGATTGTGGCCTCCCTTTCGCGTGGAGAATGGGGAGATACTTGTTCTGTGTTTTGGCTCCTCCTCTCGAGGGGGAGTCTCAGCCCTCGTGGACGAGGTACCGCCCAGATTCACGAATCCCCTCAATTTTTCCACTCTCGCGGGATCAGATGCCTCCAATTTCTTCAAGAAGTTGATCAATCCATGCTGCTCATCGGTGCCAAGATCCTTAAAGTTCTGTAAGAGATCCTTGAGATCATTGTCAGTTAGACTCTCCATTCTCCTGGCATGCGCCTCAATAGGATCGACTACTACTTTAGCAGCCGTTGGATTGACAGCAGCAACAGCAGCAGCAGCAGCCGAAGCGACTTCCCTGATCTCTTTAACTTGTTTGGCTTGTTTAGTCTCGCTGAGAGGAGGAGGAGGAGTGACTGATCGCGCCTTGGGAGCATCAGTTGTGCCAGTAGCAGCAGTCAAGCTTTTAACAAAGCTTGCAGCTGTGATTGGTTTATCAGAATTCTTGGAGGCCTCCGCCATCCCCACCACAGCATTTATCAGTGTTTCCAATTCGTCCTGAGAGACATTAGTCCGTCCCTGAGCGATAAGAGCAGCTGCAATCTGCTGAGCAATGGCCACTTTATCTACAGCACCCACTCCCGGTACACTAACAGGTTCAGACTTAACCAGAGGTATGTCAATTGACCTCATCAACAGCGATCTACTGGCAAAAGATGCCGATATCTGCTGCCTTATCTCCAAGGCCTCTTTCTTTCTCTTTTCCTCCTCCTCGACTCTCTTCTTCTTTTCCTCGGCAGCTTTGTGCAGCAATTGCGCAATATTAGTGATAGCAGACTTGGTCGGGGCCACCGCCATTTTCTCTATCATTCCCGCAAACAGCTGACCCTTCAACTTCTCCTTAACCGTTTCAAATAGTACAGCAACTTCCTCATCCTGCAAGAGTTCCTCCGCGGAATTGGGCTTTGCTTTTTCCGCAGCAAGTGCGCGCGATAGAAGAGCAACGACTTTAGGTCCGAGTGAGCCTAATTGTCCCTCGAGGGCTGTCAGAAGTCGGAGAAGCCCGACAACCTCGAGATCCTCTTTCAAGGGCTCCTCCTTAGGAGGTGGAGACGGAGATTTCTCCTTGACGATGTATGAGTAATGCGGGCGCGCACGCGGAATTATTCGCGGTTGGGGGGGATAATAAGCTCGGTAGGAGGGTTTGGCGCGGATATAGCTGTAGGCGTAATCGCGTTCCTCGCGGTGGCGCTCGTACGGATCTGGTCTCTTCTCAAGTTGTTTTGTTGTTTTCAATGTACCCACGTACTCGACGTCGTCGTCGCTGTCGGCCACGTGGTGGCGCGCGCGTTTCGGAGGGCTTGAGCGAGGCTGCTGCTGCTGTTCAACCTTGTCGCGTTTTACTGATGGGGTCGGCTGCGACTGCGACTGCGGCTGCCATTTTGCCTCGGGCGGTTTGTCCTCCGGCAGGTCCAAACGCTTGCGGATCTCCTCCTTACGCGCCGAGAGCTGCTCATTATGAATTTCGCGCATCCTTTTGTTCCAAAAGTCGATCCATTCCGGCTTAAAGTCGTGCTTGCTCGGGTCTTTGCCATCGGCTTGGAGCTCCTTGTATCGACGATTCCAGAATTTCTTCCACTCGTCGGGATAGGACGGGTGTTTCTCAGGATTTTTCTCGTGGAATTTAAGGGCTCGGTCGAGGGTCTCCTCTGCCCGACGTATTTGTTCGCGGAATTTGTCCCACTTGTCGCGTTCGCGGAGGGGCTCGCGAGAACGTGAACGCGATCGACGGGATTTCGATGACCGATAGCGATTACGATCGCGAGTTGTTACTCGGGGAGGAGGAGAACGCGAGCGAGAGCGCGAGCGGGAGGGAGAGGGAGAGGAGGAGATTGAGGATAAGGAGGAGAGGGATTTTGTGTCGTCAGATGGACGAAGCTTCTTTGCATTGTCCGACTTTTGGTTCAACTTCTCTTTTGATAGGATTCGAATTTTGAATTCCCTAAAAGAGAAAATATTTACATTATTTATTACTCCAGGGTCCAGATAAGGGATCTCCAAGGCTTGATTTGGGGAATTTCGCTTTCCATTTTTTTTTTTTGTACACTGACAGAAAAATTGACAGATTTTTCAAACAAAAAATTTCTCAATTTGTCAATTTTCTCATGTTTTTGGATTTTCATGATAAATTTCATTCTCGTCCATTTTTTGAATTGTAAATAAGAAAAATTATTTATTTTGAAAAGTAAATTATTTTTTGGTGGATGAAATTTAATACATTTAAATTTTAAATGAAGAAGGAAAAGTAGAAATGAGATTTCTTACTTGCAACTAAATTTATTTTTGTGACAAAAATTTGTCATCTCAGCACAGTAATCAAATGGTCAGCCTCGGATTTACTTTTTTTTTTTTGTTAATTTTCAATTTGTGAAATATTTTCTATCCTCTTTTTTGTCTAAATGCTTGGGAGTATTCTGCCCATTAAAAATTGTCAATATTCCAGAATCAATTGAGGAAAATTAATTACTTACGATTTACTAGTATCAGGTTCAATCTTCTTTGGAAATGCTTTATCCAAATTACTCTCTTCCTTCTTCGGTTTACTCTCAATCTTCTCATCAGTTGTAACATCTTTATTCCCAAAAACATTAACACAAGACAACATTGAATGAGTGAATAAAATTCATAAAATTTAATTGAACATCGTTTCATCACAAAAAAAAAAATCCAAGAATCAATCATCAAATAAAAATTCACTCACCTTTCTTCGTTTCACCGCTAACTTCAGCCATTTTCTCATCAAAGTTTGTCACCCATCTCACATCGTAAACTTCCATAAACGTTACCTCTGCTGTTTCCCTGTGCACGTAGGAAACAACCGAATTATTTATTTTTCAATTCTTTGATTCATTTACATGTCGATGAACAATTCTACAACTAGATATTGCTTCTTCAACAAAAATTCATGTCTAATGAATAAATGAAACATTGAATTTTGAACTGTGCAGAATATTTTTGATGTGGTACGGACCAGCCGGAAATTTCTTACAGTGAATTTTTAAAATAGGACACATGTTTACAAGACGACAAAAAACATGTACAATTGTTGATCAGTAACTCGTAAAAATTTGTCTAGTTTTTTTTTTGTGCTCCGGTTTTGAAATAGACTCAACATTCACGAAGAAATGATCAAGCTCTTCGTGTTTATTAATTTCTCATAAAATTCTTTCAACTCTGTAATGATAAAAATCATATCAAGTTTGTGTGGCGTTCTCCCCTGCAGAATGAAATTCAAAACACCCGAAAAATTGCTGCATATAAATGTAAATTTACCAGTAAAATAAGATAAAATTCGTAATTATTACGGTAATTCACAGTGTTAAAGTGATTATTTTATTGAGTGACCACTGATCACTGGTAAAAATTTCTGTGTGAAGAAAAAGAAAAAAAGAAAAAAAGAAAAAAAAAAGAAAATGATAGAAAATTCTCCACTTACCTAAAATGAAAGTCCTGATAAACATTCTTGATATACTGCATTTTATTCTTTTCAAACTGTCCCTTATCCACCAACTGTGGCTGTAATCTACCAAATTTCTCTTCAATCTTCTTGGCCACAAGTACAGATATTTCATTAGCACCACGTTTATAATTCTGTGTCCTCGGTAATTCAGTGATAGCCCTCGATATAGTCGGAAAATGACGATTCAAATACGTGATACGATGATTGTAACTCGTAATGTGTGCCATAACTGTTCTCGGATCTCCACGTTTATCGCACAAAACACAAGTGTAGCTTGGCTCGCAAGATTCATTATCAACCAATTCTAACAAATACTCGAGACCAACTAACGGTGAACTCTGATGACGATCAAGGGATGTTTGAATTGTCGTTGCACGTGTCATCTGATCCTCCATACCTGGTGGTACTGGTTCACCAGGTGCTAGGGCGTCTGAAATTGATACTTGACCTGATCCCGATGACTTGAGACTATCTCTTTTTGACCACAGGGATACTGGGTATGGCCACTCGTCGAGCTTTATCTTGTGGCGGCTCGAAGTGTTGTGGGAGTGGAGCTTGTGAGCACCGAACAGGGCTATATTGCAGATGTGACACCATATGTCGGCGTCCTCGGTTCGTGAGTACACGGGACGGAGGGTGCCATCTTCGGCGGTCACACTGCATCGCATCAAACGCTTACGATCACTCTCTTCCTGAAAGCCAGAGAGTGTCGATCAAGCGATAAGGCGAATTTCTTGGGGTGAATAGTAATTATTTGGGGGCGAGAGGTGACAAGTTGATGAGTTAATCCATGTCTTTTCAGCTATCATTTTTCACATACTACCAACTTTAATCAATTATGTTGATTTTTTCTTTAAAAAAAATATGCACGTGAAAGTTGCATAATTTTCAACTGAATTTTCTCTAATGGAATTGTAATGAAATTATCATACAACTCAATCAATAGATTGATTGAAAAATTTTTAATGCATGAAAAAAATTTTTTTCACTTTCCACCACTTCACCACTGAAATAACAATTGATTTCTCAACATGTTAATTTTTTTTTTTTTTTTTTTAATAAAAATATTCATACTTATAACATTGCCCGCCAACAGATCTTCATTGTTGTAACCGATAATAATCTTCAATTAATTATTCATGTACCTTTTCACGCTCTTCCTCAGACAAATGCGATGCATTTCGTCCCTCGATATCGAGGTCATCAAAGTTCTGCATTCCGGAGCTTTTCATTTAACCCACCATCGATAAAATCCCCTGGAAAATCCAATTTTTTCCAAAAAATAATGTGAATAATTGAATCACAAAGATATGAAAAGAAAAAAAAATGATCTTACATTCCATCTACTTACCCCATCAATTAACAATACTTAACTCAATAATGTATCGATTATATATAAAAAACTATGAAATATATGAGGGATAAATTGTCTTATGATAAATCTCAACATTGCTACTGAAATATGAAAATGTAATTTTGTTTTTTTTTTCTGACTTTCTTTATTTTTTGTTATCAGTTAATATCTTAATCTTCTGAATTATTATATGAATTTGCTAGAAGGCAGAGAGCACCATTCCAGCTTACTTACCAAGCTCAACCTCATTAAGTCTTTAATTAACAATATATTAACCATCAAGAACCCACGAAATATCACAATATCATGATGAATTTTTTATCAATAAAAAACAAAAACCACTAGAAGGGTGGAAAAACACCCCAAGGAGTAGCAGAAGAATATTAACCACAGTAGGTGATAAAATTTCGTCAATAATATCCTAGATAAACGATTATTCAGGGTACACTGGATATATCCACTTTCATCTCAAATTCACAGACATGTGAATATTCACGTTTTCTCATGTAATTTTCTTATCTTATAATCAATAAAAAAAATCACGTAGGGACGCCGGTGGGTCCTTTATTGGCACCCTCGAAAGCACCCAACGCATCATCTGGATACTTGCAAATTAACCAAGATAATTGATTATTACTTCAACTAATATTAATTACTCACCGCGATAATCGAAATCACCGAATCTCAGCTGTATTTCTATCCTTTTAACGCGATTTGATATAGATTTTAGGTAATTTAATATCCACTTGGTGATTGTGTTAGGAGTTGGAGTAAACGAAGGCGGCCATGCTGGTTTGAGAAGAGAAATTTCCTATGAAAAAAACTGATAAAAAAAAGGCTGGTTCTCACACACGCCTATATGCGCACGCGCATTAACTTGTGTGGTGTGACCCTAGTCGTTGTCTCGTCGTCATGACGTCAGCCTCCTGCCTGCCTTGTGTGAAAACATGTTTATACACCATTCGTCGGCAAAGCAAATATTTCACTTTTTACCTGACGATTATATCGCACTCTAACTGACCGATATTCTCTACCATCAATAGAATTATTATATAAAAAAATCAATATTTATCAATAACTAGTAATACCTAAATACCTATATATGTATAGCGAGACAATTGTAGAAATTACTTATTCATATAAAACTTTATTTATCATACTGGCAACTGATCACCGTATCTCACAAAAAATATCCTCCACCGACTAAATCAACTGCTCAATCCTAATATTGAAAAACCAAATGATCAATGGAACTAATTGAGTAGCCTAGCCCATCAAGTAACCAGCGAGTCATCCTTGTCACTGCACTGTGCATTCACGCTGAAGGCCGTATCAGTGCTCGTCTCGCTTGTGATGCTTTCGTTGAAGCTCTGCTTCTTATGTAAAGGCTCATTCATTTCCCTCATTAAGCCCGCCATGTCGTCATCTGGATCAATTTCCTGATTATTACCAACAACATCGATCTCCATGGCGTTGACGTTGGATCCCACTGGCTCTGGACATTTCATCTCTTTGATGAACTGATGACACACATACATAGTACAAATCAATCATTTTTTCGAGTGCACTTTAAAATCCATTTAATGCTTATTTATTTATTTTTGCTTTTTTTTTCCTCTCACCTTCATGGGCTCTAGTGTACAGGGAGGTGGCAGATCCATGTGAAAGACACAATTGGAGTCGAAAACAACGGGAACTGGCTCGTGACATGATATGTCAGCTCTTTTAGCTCCACATGCTTTGAATAACACCTGACGTTCGTCCTGTAGTGTCATGAGTTATAACTAGTTGATCAATAGGGATATTTCCTTAATTGTTTTATCAATTAGTAAATTAGTATATATCATTAAAAAAAAAAAAAAAAATCAAGCTCAACAATATCTACATTTGAGGGGAAAAAAAATTAATAAATCGATATTCTTATTCTCATATACATCACCTTTAATATGTGTTTTCTGCAGTGTTTAGCAGCAGGAAGTGTCCTCTCTCCACACTTGACTCCACCTTCTGTGAAAATGCATTTGGGTACACTGGGAGGCTTATGAGAAAGTCCCTCAGAATATCTGGCTCTTTTCTCAATAGATTTCTTGTACAAAATAGCTTCAACCCCACTTTTACGGTGATAACCATTCAACGCCTTCAATTTCTCGTAGATTTTTTTCTCTTTGGGTGTATCTTTAGATTGATTATAAATACTACCTAATGGAGGAATAAAAAATATCAACATGACAATCTTATAATTTAACTATTTCAAGGGATACTAGTTCTAATTTTCGATATTCATTAATTCATTGTATTAATGCTGGAAATTGGGATGACTCACAGAGGGTTTCCTTCTCAGTCTTTATTGCGTGGAGATACCTTCTACGTTTCTCACGCAACATGTACTGGAGCCTCTTGAATTGCTCAATGTAGAGGGACTGGAGTTTTATCAGTTTCTCACGAGCAATGTAAATACCCTCCTCAGCTGTGTAGATACCTGCATGCCTTAAATAATTTATGCTAATTTAATGGACGAGTAATAGTTGCTCTCAAGTTGCAAATAAGCAGTTACTGGTGGTGGTGAATACTGTTTTACTAAAAAAATTTCACTAAAATTTCTAGTACACAACATATATTGGAAATTTTCATCATAATGTAGCACCACTAGAATGGAGAGTCAAAGAATTTCGTCATTGAGAATTCAAACATTTGTGGAAAACTCAATGGAAACTGTAAAATCTCAAATTTCATGATTTTTTCAATTGTCTAGAATTTTTTTTTCAAAACACTAATGTTATTAATGCTATTAGGTAATTATGAGGATTGTACGTGTGCACTAGCCAAAGCAAACTAGCATCAACAATTTCTACTGGCTGTAACAAGTGGATGAGGATTACAATTCCATATCGAAATATAATTTTAACTAGTTGAATGAAAAAGCTCAATTACTACGCGCATTCTAGTACTATAGTGAAGAAATAACATCTGAGATAGTTGATTGTTAACTCTCGGTGATGGAGATGTCAGTAAACTCACTTGAGGGGATCCTCATTGAAACTGCTAAGGGATTCACTGTCACTGTCATCCAGGAATGCCCCTCGGAGGGCATCAGATGCCACAGTGGGCTCCACATCACTGTCTGATGAGCTGGCATAATCCAGTATATCACAGCAGCTAGAGTTGATCTTGGATGCATCAATTTCATCTTCAAGAGGATATTTACAAAAAATTATAATAATTATACTTGACTGGAAGGAGATTTTTAAAAATGTTTAATGTCTGAAAAATCTTTGACATTTTAGACATTATTATCCTGTTATACCTATAGTATATATATAAAGAGTAGAAACTAGTGTTGAAATGCTATAATGAACTTCCAACTGGGGAAAACTCAAAAATTGTATAAAATATGTAACATTTGCCCCCTTGATTTGACTTACTGAATGGATCCAACGCTTTGATTTTACCCCTCTCCCCAGCTTTATCTCCACCCACATAATGCCTCAAGTTCAAGAGATACCTCTCAGGATTCTCTGGCAAAACTCCTTTCGACGTGGATTTCATTCTGGCAATGAGAGCTTTCCTCATGTGTTCAGGGCAGTAAGCAACATCTCGTCTGTCCATCCGGGGGGCTGGGTTGCAGCATCTCTTGGCACTCGTGTTGTAGACGAATGCACATTGTTTGTAAGGGGCACTTGGATCGTGCAGAATGTGCTTTTGACAGAGGGAAAAGCCCTCGAGAGCTTGTCCAGAGCAGTCCCAGGAAGTGTAGCTGCACTTTTTTGATAACTTTTGGCGTTTCTGAGGGATCCCTGAGACTGTTGGTGGCAACTGAGTGTTCGTATGACGATTCATTTTTTTTTTTCATCAATGAAAAATAATGACTTGTTGATGATAGCGGTGAGGTTTTAAGCACTAGCCAATCGTTTTATACATCACTTGAAATATCGAGGATTTATTAATAGCTGATAATATTCGGCACATCAGAGAACAAACAATTTATCTCTACTACTCCTTCTCTCACTTCTCCTCCTTTTAGCTAAATGCTAAATGCTAAAGGATAAGGTATGATAGATAGAGGAAGGTAATCTCAACATTGTTCTCCAGCCTATCCCCAAAAAGTATTTCTCAGAGATTGTGTAAGATGGCTCTACGGTCGAACTTCTTCCCCCTCTCTGCTACCTGCTCGGTTGCTGTTGCTGTCTCTCGCGAGTCAGTCCCCTCCGCCCCTCGCCGTTCCATTATATCCGCTCGTGGCTACAAATACTATTAACCCATCTCTGTTAATATATGTAACAATAGTTATGATAATGAGAAATAAATAAAATTCTCAATGCGTTTCCCGAACTTCACTTCTTTTTACAATATTTTATATTTTCATATAACTGTAATCAAACGTGTATAGTTTAATAATATAATTAATGTAAAAAATATAATTTCCATTAGAAAAATGGTAGGGGAATTGAGCAGCAAGGGGAAAGGGAACATGGAACATAGGATCTGGAAGAGGGGAGGAATGTAACTACTGAACCGATGTCTCGTGTCATCGGTAGAAAATACTTTTTGGGGACACTTGAGAGATTACCTTCCTCTATCATGCCGTGCCGCTGCACTAGACCTGTCGACTGGTAATAGTATGTATGACTGTATTTGTTTAAAGCGTTTAAAGACAATTGACAATTAGGTTATGTCTTATTAAATGAATATCCCTCGTGAATTTTCAAAAATTCAATTGCAATTCCTGAGAAATTGAGTTTATTAAACAGAAAAAGGATTTTCAGAATCCAAAAATTGTTTTCTTCATCCCATTTTTAAAGTTATGTTTGTTCAAAGTCAATTGACAATGAGGTTATGTCTTATCAAAAACATAAAACCCTGCATAAACCCCTCTTCTGGCTTGTCATCAAGGGTAATTAGGTCCTGAATCACATTATCATGCATCATCAGTCTGTCAATTAATGAATCAATTAATTACTCTTCAATGATCCTTTAATTTCAGTTGAAAATGCAGAGAACTAGGGAATGATCACGATTCAGTGCTAGAATGAAGAAATAGCCATGGACTCCCTTGCCAAACGCATCGCCTTCCTGACATTTCCAGTTCTGACATTTTTATTCTCCCGATTTCTGGAGATTTCTCATCACATGAATGTTCATTTCGACTCAATCGTCAATGATGTACCTGAGGAGAAAATTTATAATTTCATAATTGGTACAATTTTTTAATTTATTTATAATTTTTGCTTCCGAATGGAAGTATTGTAATCGTTCAAATTCATCTTTTGGATTTTTCGTGTTACATCGTGTTATACCCATTATACTCCTAAAAGTCTGAAAATGCAATTTTTAGACCGTGTTCTTAGGTATGTAAAAAAAACTATTATTGTATTTTACTGAAAAGAATTATTATTACTATTATTATATAATTATAATTATAATAATTGACTATTCATTGTCTTCTGTAAGAAAAATTTCTGGTTATTCATATTGAGAATAATGCCAGTTCCCCTCCTACCTCATTCAAATCCCATCCAATAATTTCCTATGACGTCACAAAAATGTGGAATGCTATATAAATTCCCTTCTTTAATATAATAATAATACTTCTCATTCGTAACTGTCAGCCTTATCGCTGCACCCAAACCTGACATTGTCCTTTTCGATTCCAATGACAAAATTATCCATGTCATCGAGTTCGCTCGGAAGAGAACAAGCGGCTCAAGTATCAACTACTCCTGTTTAAACTACGTCAACTGAACCGGGGCTTCAGAGTAAAATTGGTTGTCCTTATTATTGGCTCTCTGGGGGGAATGAAGCAGTCTTTCATATCCGTACTCGAAATCACCCGGGCTTGTAGGCGTAAAGCCTTCATATTAACTGGCCAAATGCAGAAGGCTGTCATCCTTGGGTCCCTTCGTCTACTTAGGCAGCATGATTCTGGACTGCAGTAGAGCTCACTCTCTGGTCAGAGGGAGCACTATTGCAGAGCGATTAGGAGAAGTTTGCTGAGCGGTCTTTGAGGTGAAGTCGGAGCCCTCGAGGATCATTCAGCGATCTCATTTACGAGTGAAATAATAATAATAATAATATCGCCACCGTCCTTATCACGGCAACTAATATTAAAAACTATTATTATATTTTACTGAAAGGAATTATTATTATTTCAAATAATTGATTGTTCGCTAATGAATTGATGGCATTGAATAGTTTTTTTTCTTAAATGTAGGTATTGTTGAACCCTATCAATCACCATTAATTGTAATTTAATTAATTTATTAATTTTTTAAATTTTTCAAAAATTGTTTTTTTCTCGAGAACTAGGAAAATGTTCTGAATTGATTGAAATAGATTTAATTTCCTCTGATTATTCAGTTGGAGCTGGAAGTGCAGGGTCGATAATAGCAGCTAAACTGACGGATGCAGGAGAAAGAGTTCTGCTGGTGGAAGCTGGGGGTCCACCACCTCCATTTGCTGACATTCCTGCCTTATCACCGACGTTACAACGAACCCCTTACGACTGGCAGTTCAGAACTGTTCCTCAGCTCCATGCCTGCAAGGGCTTGATAAATAATGTAAAGGACATTATTTTTATTGTTGATGATTCCTGATAATTTATCAGGATAATTGATATTTTTCAGATGATAATGACTGATGAAAATGGGAAATCGTGGGTCCAGTTGATGGGAATGGGATTTTCTCTTCTCTTTTATAATAAATTATTGATTTTTGGGTATCAATTAGTCTTTTTATCAACTAGAATAATTAATTTAGTAACATTTTCCTTTTGAGGAATTTTTCAATGATAATTCATTGAAAATCCAATATTTTATTCATGGTAAATTCGCAGACTGAATAACAAATTCACACAATGCTACGTTATTACCTTCATTTATTCTTGTTAATTATTTCAGGTGAGTAATTGGCCTAGAGGAAGAATCCTAGGAGGCTCTAGTAGACTCAACAGCATGGCTTATGTTGAAGGACATCCAGAAGACTACCGAGATTGGTTTCCTGATTATAATGGTAATGGTATAAATTAATCGATAATTACATCAACTGTTTTATCATTTCATTAATAATTTTTTTCAGATGCATTCTGACAAATATCTTATCCTCTAAATATTTTCTGACAATGGAAATTGAGAAAAATCTTGAGGAATAAATTATTCCAAGCTAAGATAAACTTGTAATAAATAAATTCCTGAGTCCACCATAAGCTTGGTGAAATCGATTGCTGACCGAAAATGTTTCATTTATTTTTTTTTTACAAGAACGGAGATTAAAACATTTAAAACATTTTTTTTGTCAAATAGATTTTAAGATTGAGGAAATATTCATTCCTGCGAAACTCAGGTGGACCTCTGCCCTTGCTGACGCCATCCTGGAAGGGATATCAGAATTATCTAGTAAAAAAAAATATAAAAATCGTTTGAATGATTTCAAGAGAGTGCCTGTGGTGATGGCTAATGGAGCTCGATGGAGTACTGACAGATTACTGACGAAGGAGAGACTCGGGAAGGGACTCGATGTTATAACCCATGCACAGGTTGAAAAGGTGATTGACACTGTGCAATAGTTAGTTATTTTAATTGATGGCTGGTAAACTAATTTTTTTTGTCTGTTTTTCCATTTCACTCAGATAATTTTTGGCTTTAATGCTGAGGCTCGAGGGATATCATTCAGAAAACACGATAGGAAATATGTTGTGACGGCTGAGGCTGGAATAATTGTTAGTGCTGGGGCTGTTGGAACCCCTAAACTGTTGATGCTGTCTGGAATTGGACCTAGAAATCATCTTGAAGAACTAAAAGTTAACAATTTTTAGTAGATAAAATAATTATGTGGAGATTATTTCGGGAATGTTGCGAAAATTAGTGGAATTAGTTTACAAAAGGATTCTAGAATTAAATTTATTTCATCATTAAATCAAAATTTTAAGTCTCATTTTTCTAATTTTGATTAATTTAATTGAATGAATGAATTCAATTAAATTTCATTTTTTTATTCGATTTTTTAAGGAAATTTTTTTTCAATTTTCTCATTACAGATTCATGTTATCAACGATCTACCAGTGGGTGAAAATTTAATTGATCACGTATTGACAGGAATTGATTTAGTCACTCTGAACTCTAGTTTATCAGTCAGTATAACTGAACTGTTGAAGCCAACATCTGCTTTGAGATATTTCCTCTTGGGAGAAGGTGAAGGAACTTTTTTTTATTATAAATTATTATGTATCGACTTGTTATAAAAATCCTTACAATACTAACTTGAGAAAAAAATAAACAAGGATTCAAATAGAGGGCGATGCTAATTATAATTAGATATAAATGGACATTTGTGATGCAGTGAGAGAAAATGAGTGCCTTGTATGGGTTATTGACATGCCTGAAGCCTTTGATAAATGCAATGACTATAAATAAATTTTTTTAAATTATTATTTTATATAAATGAATTAAATTGAATTGATCATGAATCAAGATCTCCTTTGCTTTTTGAGAAAATTTACAATTTCCAAATCAATTTCATAATTCATGCAGGACCGTGGACATCAACGGGATTGGAAGTCGTGGGAACTCTCCACACAAGGTCAATAAATAATACAAATAATCATCCAGATGTTCAGTTGATGGTGATGCCCGTGGGGATATCCCAAGATAATGGCGCACAATTGAGAAAATATATGGGAATTTCTGATGAGGTAATTAATTTGAGATAATATGAGTGACGAAAAGGACAATTCTTCCTGAAAATCACTTTCATGAGTATTTTGCCCTTAATATAATTGTTGACAGGTTTTTGGTGAATATTTCTCTCCCCTCGCACACAAAACAGGAATAACTCTCGCTCCAGTTCTGCTTCATCCAAAAAGCACTGGCGAGATAAAACTCAGAAGCAAAAACCCTGAGGATGACCCTCTGATAAACCCCAATTATTTATCCCAGGAGGAAGACGTTGCTACGTTGATAGATGGTAAAGAGCCTAAAATAACATGATTACGAATTTCGTAAATATTTTAATGTGAATAATGTGAAATAATGTGGATAAAAATCTGAAATCAAAATTTTCATTCTTGTACGCGCTGTAATTTGAAAGAAAAAAAAAATAAATAAAGAGAGCAAGTTGAAATTTGGTATGATTATAGCAGCCTCTTACAATGTAGAAGGCTGGTATCTACAATATGGTAGGCAGTTTGGAAGATATTTAACCTTTTGTATAAATCGTTCTATTTAATTAAAAAGTTGAATATCTTCCTGTGGAAATCCTGCAGCATATGGTTACGGTTTGAATTAGTCCTCCTATTAGAAATAAAAAGAAGAAAAGAACTAATAACGCAAAAAGTAATGGGCACATGCCTTCTGTCGGATAGGCAGCTCGAAGCCCTGCTTGTTTCATTATTTATTCTTCAAAGGTCTAATGCTCGTCGAGGAATTGGTGAATACAAAATCAATGAAGACTCTAGGGGCCGAAATGAACAGGAGAAAGTTTCCAGGCTGTGAGGACTACGAGTTTGGTGGGAGGAATTATTGGGAATGCTACATTCGTCATTTAACTCTGACGTCTTATCATCCTGCTGGCACTTGCAGCATTGGAAAAGTTGTTGATAAGAATTTCAGGTATTTCATCACTTTTGCTTGAATGTTGTAAATTCTCGTTTTATTCCCAAAAAGAAAGAAATGAAGGGAAATTTTAGTTTTAATTCTTTATTTTTTCTTTATGATTTTCGATAATTTGATTAATGAATCAATCTGATTTTTTACTCGCAGGGTCTATAACACGAGGAATTTGTACGTCGTGGATACGTCAGTGATTCCGAGACTGCCCAGTGCTAACATCAATGCAGCAGTTATGAAGTTAGCTAGCAAGGCTGTGAAACTCCTGATCGATTCAAGAAGGAAGAGATCGAGACATTTTGATCACTGTCATATTAACGACTTCATGCGTTTGTTGAGTAAATGTTGAGAAAGGGTCTACCATCGCCAATCTTTATGAAAATTCAACTATATGTTCAGGATGGCGGTGGTGTTATAATGTCATGCAGCCATCATTTGCTGGAAACAAAATTCATCACAGCGACTACAATTAATTAATTCATTAATTCTCTTGATTCACACTTGCGAATACTATGTTGCCTCAATCAATAAATCTAATTTTTTTCATGGCCTCATCACCTGCTCTTATTTCGGCAATTAATCTCATCAACGATTCACCACTTCTTCATTATCGCCTCCTAATGATCTTCCCTATTCTTCTCATTCTATTAACCAGAGAAGCATAGAATAAAAAGTGTAAGATAATTCTCCAGAGGCTATATCCTAATTGAATCGAGACCCATCGAGGCCAATTTATATAAAGTAAATTGTGTGAATAAATTCGTCTAGTTAAACTTATATTTTAATGTTTTATTATTTATGAGAACCTTATGGAACAGTTTAGAGATCGACTTATTACAAGTGTCACTATTTAATCAGAACTCTGCGTTTGCCGACAGTATAAAATTATTTTTAAAGAGTCGAAAAGTCATTTCGCACAATTGCCTTTGTTCATTCTCTAATCGTTGCCCACAATCGTGCTTTTGTTGGAAAGAAAACCTTAAATATGTTGTTGGTTATCATGAAATTACTCAATTTATATCGGGAGTTCCAATTTAAAATTTTAGATGAATGCGTGAAAAAATGTTCTTTGGAAGGAAGAAATTGATTTTCAATACGATGTGCATGGTAGAACAACAAATTTACGCATAATTTCGAAGAAATTTCTGAATGTAAAAAATCAATTCATCCATCTCTAACAAGAATTTTGAGTCGATTTTAAAGATCAAGGATTTATGAAACCAAAAAATTGACATTTTTCTTTGGGAAATTCAGGATTTTTCTTTAAAAAATCTATGTAACATTTTTTTTGTAAAATTGAAACTGTAGCCGTCAGATTTAATTGAAAAGGAAATAGAAAAAAACTTCCATTTGAGGTTTCTTCACTCTTAACAGAGTTGTGAAGCTAACAATTTAGGACAAAGCTCTCCTGAATATGAAAACTTGCAGCCCAATCAATCAGCCCAGAGTTAACTCTGGATTCATGGAAAAATGAAAAAACAAAAACTAAAAACGCGTGAAAAATTAGAATGCAATATGAAGAACATGGTACGTGTAACTCGCCCATTCCGTATATTGTGTACATGAAACTCGTGTTGGCATCGCTTCCCTGTCTGTTGTGCTTTTCTTGGCGAGGGATTAACACGTTCGCTCCTCGACTCCTCAATTGTCGTCAATTCCTACCAATTGAACCAAAACAAATAATAAAAAGTATTTAACTCCTCGACTCGAACTGAACGCTTGCAGGTCAATTATTCCAAATTCCCCATACCCATTCTATTTTACATTAAATTAAATTAAATTAGCCAAGTTAAATTCCGTTAAATTAAACTGAATTAATTTAATTTCATAGAATAAATGAATTAATTATCCTCATTAAATTCATCAAATGAATTTTAAGCGCGAGTGCAAGTGAAAAAATCAGCGCAAATAATGGAATTAACCGAAGTTGTGAGTAACAATGAGAAATAATTTTCAATTAACAGCGTGCACGTGCTCGATCCTCATATCAAGGCCTAATCATGACTAATCAATTAGAAATTATAATTAAGACGGGATATGTTGCACCATATTGTCTAATAAGAGATCAGTCCGATTTTTATATTCAGATTACATTACGTAATGAATTGGCAGGCACTAAATATCATTGGTACTGATGCATTTTCACATGCCATTGAATTAAACATGAATTTTTTTCAGATCATTTTCAGAGATATTTTTATGGGCGATTGTATTGAATTCTTTGTCAAGGTCAATTTTTATTATTGGCTCGCTTGTCAAATCTTCTATTTGAAAAATCGAGTTGTGGAATTTTTAACGATAATTCGGCTTGGTTGTTTATTTTTTTTATTTAAGTGGAAATGAATTTTTGGAAGTGAAATTGAAGGATTAATGAATTAATCAACGATGATTATACTTTTTATCGATATTTCATTTAATGAGAATAGGATTTTTTATCGTTATTTATGCTTTATTTGTTGGTGTTGAATTTTTTTAATGGGAAAAAATTAGAAATTTTCCAAGTATTGAAGCAGAACTACTGTGAAAGGAATATTTCTTGTTGACTTTGTATTTAACAACACATCAAGTTTCCACAGTAATTTTACGCCTTATCACCAATAATGACTCGTTATGCATACAAACACCATTTAAACGTCGGAATTTGAGTTTCATAAATGACAAAGAATGTTTAATGATTTGATGTTTTAATGATTTTATTTGATAGTCTGGATGTATACCCTCTCGGGGTTTTACATTTTGTTCCTTCCCCATTGCCCCGTAGAATATTCACAGGAATACAAAACAGGTTACATACATTAGCAAATGCAAATAAATTTTTAAATATCTCTCAATATTGAGATAAAAACTTTTTGACAGATTAACTAACAGTAAAATAGTATATTTCGATGCTAGTGGGGAAAAGTATTTTTCCGTGTGCTGACCTTCACTTTTCCCGGGGGTTGGGGGATTGGTATTGACCCTTTCCCAAATTGGTAAAAGTGAAATTCACTACGGAAAAATATCGTTCGCGCCTAGTGCCACAGGGGTTTTCGACTCGGGTGATTGGCACAAGTGTGAGGTCGGCATGCCAACCTCACACTTGTTGAAAACCCCAGTGGCACTCGACGCGAAATATACTAAAATTTCTCACGGATAAAAAAACACTTTTTATGACACCTGTGTGAAAAGTGCACTTTTTATTATATTATTATGTAACACAATACATATACTATATTTGAGTGCTACCCTCCCAAAGATAAAAGAACACTTTTTCACGAGTATCGAGTCGGGACTGTTTTTATCACGATGTGTGGAAAGTGGCTTTTTGCGCACGCAAAAAGGAAGAATGCGTAAAATTTTAGTTTACGCACAAGTGATGAAACACATACAGTATACAGTATATTAAACTACGAACAGTCTCTTAGAGAAGGTTTTAATAATTTCAGTCAATCGGAAATCACGAGGAGGTAAATAAATCCGGGGAGATTAAAAAATTGAGGAATCCAGACTTGACGTACGGAATTGATGACGTTCCTCCATGGTATCTGTGTCTTTTTATGGCGGTTCAGGTAAATCCAAGCCGAAGTTTCTCCAATGTGACGGACTTTTATTGTTTGATAAGATAATGATTTTTTAAATCGTTTTTAATGAGAATGAATGCGGGTTTTAATTCACGATTTGCAGCACTACTTGACGATGATAGGGGCCATCGTGTCGATTCCCTTCATCCTGACTCCTGCTTTGTGCATGGCTGAGGATGATCCCTCTCGCAGCTACATCATCTCGACGATGATCTTCGTTACGGGACTCGTGACACTCGCCCAGACCATCTTCGGATGCAGGCAATTTTCTCAATTATTATTTTTTCTCAACGGGTTCAACTTATTTTTCCGTGCTGACCTTCACTTTTCTCTGGCCACTGGATTCAGTATGATTTTACACATTACCTTTTACTTTAGAGTTTTCTAGTAGGTAAATTATCAATTTCAACACAAATTTCATAAAAGCCCGTATATAAGGAAAATTTTTTCTGCCGAAACTATTGCGATTAATGATTTTTTCAACGTTAGAAAAATCGGCTGTCAGCCGAAATGTTTTTTTTTGGCAATTTTCAACTAGCGATTTTGTTGGCCCAAACAAGACTTGTTTGACAACGTGTTCCACTAATTACAGTTGGATTTTCTATCCTGCAGACTTCCACTGGTTCAGGGTGGAACGATATCGTTCCTAGTACCGACCCTCGCCATTCTGAATTTGCCGCAGTGGAAGTGTCCCCCCGAAACGGAGTTGTCAGCCATGAGCTCCGAGGAGCGCACGGAGCTGTGGCAAATCCGGATGCGAGAGTTGTCGGGGGCAATCGCAGTCTCCGCACTATTTCAAGTCTTCATCGGGTTCTTCGGCATCGTGGGGGACTTACTCAAGTTCATAACACCGCTGACGATCACCCCAACAGTAGCTCTGGTTGGGCTGTCCTTATTTGAGAATGCGGCGGAGACTGCTTCGCAGCATTGGGGCATTGCCGCCGGGTAACATCCATTTCTGATTTACAGTCATTACTCCCTAACATTTCTTCTTCATAATTAATATCTCAAATTGTGCAAAATTTCACTCATTTTCAGGACCATTTTGATGCTCACCCTGTACTCGCAACTGCTGGTGGAGATCCGATGCCCTTTCATCGTGTACAGAAAGGGCGAGGGCCTGAAAATTATCTGGTTTTATCTCTTCAAACTATTTCCAGTGAGAAATTCTCCCCCTTAAATTATTGAAAAATTATTAATTATTAAAAATTTATTCTCCTTCTTTGTCGGATGGAATATTCATTCCAATTTTGGAGATCACTCTAGGTATTACTGACGATTGTCGTTATGTGGATAATCTGTGGAATTCTGACCGTCACTGATACTCTTCCGTTCGGTCATCCCGGTCGCACAGACACGAAAATCAGGATCATCAGCGATTCTCCCTGGTTCCGTGTGCCGTATCCCGGCCAGTGGGGAATGCCCACTGTCTCGTTATCTGGGGTCTTGGGGATGCTCGCTGGTGTACTGGCCTGTACTGTTGAGTCCATTAGTTACTATCCAACTACTTCGAGAATGTGTGGCGAGTACAACTATTCAGGGATACTATTTTTATTTCCGAAAAATTCTTTCTTGAAAGGGATCAATCGAATTTCATTAATTTTTTCATGAATACAGTAGACTCGTTGCTCGTTTCCCCCTAATTCTCTTCTCGGACGCTCAAGCTCTCCTTTGAAATTAAAAATATTTAATAACTTCTTTATATATCTTTTCAATTATTTCTAAACATTTCTTGGTAACCACAGGGGAGAGGAATTCAGTAGCGAAGCAGTAAACCGGTTTAATTCCACTTTGCTCTTCGCTGAGTTCTCGAGAAATATATCTCCGAATCTATAATCTAAGAGAAATAGCGCAATTTTTATTACAATCTTTTTTGTAGCTCTCAATTCACTCCACAAAAAAGGTTATTACAAAAAAATTGCCATCACCCTTAGATTCCGAGATATTCATTAAAAACAGACCAATATGATAATAGTCCTAAAAAACTGGTAATTTATTAGCAACAATAACTGTATTCATTTATAAAATAAATAAAAAAAGGCAATTGTTCACTTGTTTTTCTTGTTTCTTCAATTTTTCAATTCGACATTTAGTTACGGGGAAAACTCGAAAAATATCTTTTGTAGATGAGGAAATTCTTTGAAAAAAATGTTTGTTATCCAGGGGCAGGCGAACTTGTCCATTCAAGGAGAAAGGAGAAGAAATGATTTTCTTTTTTATATTGCTTTTTTAGGAGCTCCACCACCTCCTGTGCATGCAATCAACCGTGGGATTGCCTTCGAGGGCTTGGGAACAGTCCTCGCTGGTCTCTGGGGGAGTGGAAATGGGACGAACACCTTCGGCGAGAACGTGGGAACCATCGGAGTGACTAAAGTCGGGAGCAGGAGGGTCATCCAGTGGGCCTGCGTCCTCATGATTCTCCAGGGCCTCATCAGCAAGTTCGGGGCGGTTTTCATCATCATTCCTGAGCCCATTGTTGGGGGAATATTCTGCGTTATGTTCGGGATCATCTGCGCCTTTGGTAAATTGAGGACAAATCCTGTTATTCCACAGTCCTCGTTCATTTTATTTCCAGAGAAAAGTCCCACTCGCACTTGAAATATCTCGGCAACTATCTCGGGAAATACTCGTGTCTCTGTGACTTACAGTTCTCGAGACGTTTTCATTCATTTAGCAGTTTAGCAGTCGTCGACTGTGCAACTTCCGCAACTTACATGAAATTTTCCATGAGGTTTTATTCCTCCACCACAAAATTTCGATAAAGAGAGCTGAGATGTTAACACATGAAAAATAATGATACTTGAACATTTACATTTATATGAAAATAAAATTTTCACCGGAATTTGAATTCTTTATAGGTCTGTCTGCATTACAATATGTGGACTTGAATTCCTCGAGGAATCTGTACATCCTCGGCTTTTCCATATTCTTCCCGATGGTAAGAAACACGATGCAAAATAAAAGATGAAAAAATAGATAAATAACAGTGAATAAATGGCTTCTGGAGATAAAACCTCAAGATTGCGCGTTTCATTAACTTTCATTCGCCTCTCAGGTACTCTCTAAATGGATGATTAAAAATCCAAATGTCATTCAGACCGGCAACGACGTGGCAGATGGTGTGATAACCGTGCTACTTAGCACGACAATTCTCGTTGGAGGTGTAACCGGCTGTGTACTCGATAATTTTATTCCGGGTAAGACTCGACTTGAGAATTTAAAAAATTTCCTCATCAAACTTTGTTTCTCTGTAGACTTGACATTTGAAAAAAATTCCTCAGACTTTATTTCCTTATTTACCGGAATTTTTAACGCGATTTGGATGGTCCAGGGACGTCTGAGGAACGGGGACTGGACAAATGGGCGAACGAGATGGCTCTGAATTTTGATGCTACCGAGGATGAGGGCAGGGAGCCAGAGTACAATACCTTTGACTTTCCCATTGGAATGAAATTATTGCGAAGGTATTTTTAACAACGACAAAGTTACATGACATTTCTGTAGAATTCTTGCACTGAAAAACCTTGAACATTTAGAAAATTCAAGCAATAACTTGTCTGAATTTTCAATCTATTGAAGATTGAATTGTATGTCATGTTCAATTTTCACCATGAGTTCTTCGACGAAAATTCAAGTTTCGTCTCATTCAAATTCATTGGAGATGTATTGACTTTAATGGCTCAACAAAACCCCTTCAATCTCAATTGTATCTCGTCTTCCAGGTGGAGGTGGACGTCGTACCTCCCGTTCTCCCCCACCTACAGGCCCCGACCCAACGCCTGTCGACGCAAGAAAGCAGCTTACAACGTCGAGGGATGAAATAAAATGAGTGCGAACAACGAATTTTTTGAATAAATAATTGCTTTCTGTACAATTCATTATCTACAATTCATTGATAATCCTCATGGTAGCACGTTTAAAAAAACTTGGTCAAAAAAACCTGGTTAAATCAACTTTGGGAAAGTAAACCTTTCGTTAATTCAACTTGATTTTATTATTTTTAAACATTCGTTGATTATAAGTAAATAATTGGAATTGTTTAAACTTCCGGAAACTTTATTATTTCAGGAATGAAATAGATTTCTGGTAAAATCCTGAATATGAATAATTTTCCTATGATTCATTGACAATTCTCGAACCTTCCATAACAATAGTATTTTTCCGGGCTGCTGCGATGATGGGGATTTTTACTACGTGTGATTGGTCAGTGTTGCTCGCCTTCGGCTCAGACGCCAACGCCAATTCCCAGACGAGAAATCGTGAGAAGCAGTACAGAAAAAGGTATTTAAACCAGCACGCTCCCGACCAAATAGATCAGTCCAACTCAGTGGCCCCCAATTCTAAAACTCTATGATGTAAACACATCTAACATGCTAAATACAACACCGATTTAATTCTACTAAACCACGAGTTATTATTCTTCGATATACACCTAACCGCCACATTTTGACGCGAATACGTCTATGAAAAAGTCTTTAAAAAAGTCTATGAAAAAAGTCTTTATGTGCAGCACCATCTATGGGAATTCTAGAAAATTCTAAACATTTCGAGATTCTTGAAATTTCGAAATATTCAAGGAGTTTCCAGAAAATTCGAATACACGGAGTTTCTAGGTAATTTGAGAAAAAAAGGAAAGACCATGGACGTATCCACGTATAATTACAGCCGTATCGAACATTGTCGAAGATACATCCACCTGCAATTTTTAGTTACGAATTTTAAGGTGAAAGTTGATAGTTTTTGTATTTTTCTCCATTATTTTCCTCAAGTTTTCAAGTTTTTTTCGACAGTTCATGTTTTTTTCCTCAAATTTTTTTATTCATCAAGTTGTTCCGACCAAGTTTCTTTGACGAGGTTTTTTAACCAAAGTTTTTTTAAACATGGACCCAATCCTCATAAGAATCCGTGACCGGCGACCACCGCTGGGATGAAGCCCTCCCTTCCGTCCCTGGACCTCACCCAGAACCAGTCCTGCGTGGAGTCGCTGAGGAGGGCAACGACGTCTCCCTTGGAGACGGCGATGGAGTCCTTCTCGTGGGGTGTGTAGTCGTTGTGGATGATCAGAAGGGTCTGACGAGGGCCGGCTTTCTTGGCGTTGGCCGCTGCTCTGAGGTACAGGCGGTCGACGCTCCGTTCACCACAGGCCGACACTGTGGTTCGGGAACCCCTTCGGCGTCTCGACGTGCGGACACCGCACTCGGATCTGACATCGCGGAGTTTTTCAGTGTCCGTCATGTTGCCTGCGTGAACAAACAAAAAATGCTCGAGGATATTTTTCCGGTTATTTTTTTCCCCCGATGTGAATTCAATTTTATCAGTTTACAGTAGACTCTCGTTGCCCTCATGAGACAGGAGAATTTTCGTAAAGACCGACTTTGTAGAGAATTTGAAGGGCCACGAAAAAGGTCTTTATCAAAATTTCGCCATCTCCGTTGAATTTTGCCGTTGAATATTCAGCGAAAATCGATTGACGATCCACGAGAGAAATATTGAGTAAAAATTACGAAACGATTCGATTGATCAATTCTAAAATTGATTTTTCTTGTTGTATTTTAGTTTTTGATCAACGTCTGAGAGTCAAGGGGAGATAGGGAAATAATTGGGAGAACATTTGGAACCTAGGGAGCTCCCCTCAATCCCAAGATATTCATAAAAAATTGATTGTAAACTTGTTTTTTTTTTCGTTTTCCCACTCCATTCCTCACTTTTTAATCAACTTTCTCTGAATTTATGGATACAACCGTAAGAGCTAGGGGACAACGTTCAATACACAAAATGAACTTTATCACGAAAAGACGAACATTTTCATCCATAAAATTTTCCTGAGGGGCTACTCACTCCATAATTGAGTGTGACACTATGATTTCGAAATGAAGTAGATTTCGGGTAATTTCAGTGATTGGAAATCACTGATTTCAGAAAAATAAAGTTAATAAATAATAGAGATGGGGCAAAATGGATTCGTTTGATTCTACTCCGCTAATGTTGAGCTAATAACGATAAAAAGCGGTCCCAGTCCATTTTACCATTTCACCATGTCACTGTGGCAGTGAGTACGGTATTCTGTTATCATGGTTGGCAGGTGTGTCAATTTCAAAATCATGAATTACTTGCACTCGTTTTTCCCCTCTCAAAAACGTCTTCCAAACTAGTTTCCCCTTCGTTGCCTCTTGATTTCTTTTCAATTTATGAATAATCCTTACATCAGGAGATGAGACACGTTCTATTTCCTGCCTTTTCAGTTTTCACCGGCGAATAAAAAAGGGGAGTGATAAGATATGAGTTTATTTACCCAATGGCCTAGGGAACACGTCATTCGTGTTTTCCCAACAAGGCCCTCGTGTGGGCTGGGGCAGGATGCCCAAAGGAAGGCAAGCCGAGTAGCCCACATAGCCCTCCTGTCCATGGGGCGTCTGCACATACAGCCAGGCTTGATTCTTAAAAACAGCGTTAACTACTGTGCCCAACGGTAAAGCTATCTCGTCCTGAATTCCTCCCTGCGTCTGATACAACATGGATGTAAAGGATATCACCACTGGGATGTTCGCCGGCTTCTCTATCGACGCCTGCATCAATTAGATAACATTAATTAACCGCTCCAAGCGGTTTCTTATTCCATTATTTTTCCCGTAATTAACAATGAAAGAAATCAATTTCCAATAATTTCCAAAAATTCGTTTTTCGTTTTCTTCAATGCTCAATCATCAATTATCAAGATCAATTGTCAAGAGTATACTCTCTTATAAAAAACCTCTCGGATAAACATAAATTACTTCTTCTCGACATACTCAATGAAAAATCTTTCCCCTCGTGTCCTATCCCTGCGACTGATACAAACGGTATATCCGGTTAATTCATCCCAAAACAAATTCATCCCATTTTTTTCTAATTACTGTTTGGATGAAGAATACGCTTGGCTGAAGCGTGTGACTTATCGGATTAATTTTCAAGTTTTGTACTAATTTTGTAAATCGATGCTGTGGTCTACACCGAGAGAAATATTCAGTAAAAATTATGGAACAATTTATGTAATCCGCAATGGGGAATCATTTTCCGGTAATTTTTATAGGAATGAAAGAGAAGAAATCTGAGTGAACGTTGAGTGAATTTTCAGAGGTTCATCACCGAGCAAAGTACGAAATTGTCACGTAATTTTTAAGAAGTCAAATCTTACAGAAACTTACCGACTTATTGTGCCACCAAAATCAAAAATTCTTGAACATTCAACAATTTTTATGAAGCTGGTGAGTTATTTTTACGTTCCGTTCCGTTAAATTTCTCAATCGCGTTGAGGAAAAATTAAGGAACCACTTGTTGTCCCCACAGCGGTTAATTTTTACGGAACAAATGGTAGAATTTACGTGACGATTCGAACAATTTCAGTTCCGACTCACACTTTTTATTGAATTTTACTTCGCTCGCGGATTACGTTTCAAAACGTAATTTTTACGTTTTTTTTTTTTTGTAGTTTTTATTGAATTTTTCTTTCCGTGTATTACTTGTGGCCTATCTAGCGAATGTTAGTTGAGATGGATACGAATGATTGGGCCATTTTTTTGCAATGTGTTCATGTTAATCCGTTGATCGCCTGTGTAAACAATACTAGGAGAGAATCGTAAAGTATCTGATTGATTTTGATGTTGTGTTTAGTGCCTTTTTCGGTGAAAATAAAGTTTTCAATTTTTTTCTTCCTGAATTATTGTTGTGACCTAGAACCTCATCTCATCTCTTGGGGATAAATTTTTTTTTAGAGATAAGAATTGTGGATAATGTGTCAGAGATTTCTCGGGATTTTGTCCGATCCGAAGAATTCGTTCAAACCGCAACTAGCAAGAGGATTATTATTATCTTGTTAATTAATTATTTTAGAGAAAAATAGCCAAAAAATTTTTGAAGATTATGAAATTTAATCTCCTCAAAAGAATAGTTATCGAGATAATATAATAAACAAGATTTTTTCACGAATTAAACAATTTTTCGACTCTTGAGAGATTCATTAATTTAATCACCTTGGTGAGGAATAAATCGAGGTCATTGATCTCATAACCAAATCTGCTGTTTCTCCTCGTTTTATGAGTTCGTCTGGCTCTCCGATGCCGATGTTTTTCATGGACACTCGGTGTTGTTGACTCCCTCAGCACTAAACTCGGCTCGGAAATTGCCCTCTTCATTTTTTCCTTTGTTGCCTCTTTGTTTTTGCACTTGAGGAAGTTCTCCAGCTGTCTGCTGGCTACTCTCTCGCTCTCCAACGACTGCAATCAGAGGTATTTAAATATCTCGTTGGGGAATAGCGGTTCACCAACGACATTGTAGAGACGCGACAACTTTTATGGCATTGGCGATGTCTAATTATCTCGAAAGGGAGTCGTTTTACGGTTAAATGTCACAAACAATTTTTTTTAGAGAATTCATTTTCCTAGAAAAAATGTCATATAATGTTCATCGATATATCGCTTCGTTAAAGAGATATTTTCGAATGAATCTCAACTTAATTTTCAACTTTTCCAAAAAAATCAATGAATTACCTTTGCTTTTTTTTTTCTACGAGTGCAATTATCTCGGTAATGAGTTATGATAATGGAAAATGTCTGGAATTTTTTTTTGTAGAAAATTAAATTTTCTACAAAAGATTGCGGAATATTTTTTCATCTAAAACTGTTCAGTATCGAAATAATGCGGAATTTAGGGAAATGTAAAAATCTTTGCGATGGATTTCGTTGGGAATAATTACCATTTCGAATTTTTCAATGCCATTCCTCGTGAAATCACCGGTTTTCATGGTGTCATTGGGTTTCAGGTGGTTCCTGGAAGACCTGAGTCCATTCTTCCCGAAGATGTTGGGGTCGGAGTCGACGGGGTGCTGCTGGCCCCGGAGGACCCACGTCAGGGATATCTTCGGGCGCAAGTGGGCACTCGTGCGCTGGCCCATTCTCGGGGGTGGCTCGGGGAATTTTACCACTTGTGGCACGGAACAGCCTGCCACCGAGTTCATTCTTTCCACCAGGGGGACATCCTTCATCAATTAATGATGAAAAACATGATTCAAGTGTGTTTGATGAAAATGTCAATTGGAAAATCCAAACTATCTTTTTGTTTTTGCGGTTTATCTCGATAATGGGAAGCTCTAGATGAAAATGTGTCAAATATTTTTTGTGGGAAATTTTATTCTCTACAGCAAATGTTCTATAACATTTTCTTCTAAAATCACTGGTTGGGGAGATAATGGCTCACGACTGAAAATAGAATTTTGTGAGATCACGAAAACAAATGAAAGTAGCTTTGTATTCCTTCAGTATTTCTCATTTATCTCGAAAACTGCTCATTTTACTGGAAAATATCATAAAAAATGTTTTGTAGCTCGTAAAATTTTCCACAACAAACGTGGTATGTTTTTTTTTTTTTCTAAAATCACTCATTTTGAAGATAATGGCTGATCTAATGAAAATCGAATTCCAAGTGATCATGAGAATGAGTGCAAACAGCTTCGATTTCCCTTCATTATTTCTCATTTATCTCGAAAACTATTCATTTTACAGAAAAATATAAATTTTTTTTTGTGGTTCACAAAATTCTCCACAAAAAATATTCTGCGAAGTTTTTTCCGAAAAAACCGTTTCCTCATCGAGATAATTCCCAAAAACTTCGTTCAAACCCTTGAAATTCACAGATGAATCCGCATTCGTCCCTCTACATGAAAAAAAAATTGAATTTGTCTCTCACAGACACACAGGCCCCGCGGGAATAATGCTTAACCCCGTTGACCCTGTGACGATGGTATTTCAAAATTTTTTTTTTACGCTTGAACCTGGCAATAAGAGCCAGGCCAGGGGGCTTAATTATATCTCCTCGGACTGCGAATTATCGTACACGCTACGTGAATTTTATCGCGCCCATATCCCCCCCCCCTCTCTTTACTTTCTCATTTGTATCTTGACTGGATCAGACGGGGAATTGATCCCGAGGTTCCAGGAAAGATCCTGAGATCCGTCTGAAATCATAAAATTTTGAGTGTTCCGAGGGTTGTAACTGATTTTTTCTCGGTTTATGGGGTTTTGTGATGGAAGATCCCTGAAATATCTCGTGTAACGGAAGACGCAACGGAAGTTGCGCAGTCGACGACTGCGCATAGAGGGAATACGATGCGCACAGTCATGTGTACATGCACTGCGTATTTTTCTTATCCTTTATTTTGTATTGTCTCTCACATGAATTCAAATTCCAGTGAAAATTTTACTTTCATAAAAATCTAAATGTCCAAGAATTATTATTTTTCATGTGTCAACATCTCAGCTCTCGTTATTGAAATTTTGTGGTGAAATAATCCCTGGGAAATCTCATGTAACGAAAAGCCCAACGGAAATTACGCAGTCGACGACTGCGCATGGAGGGAATACGATGTGCACAGACATGTGTAAATGCACTACGGATGCACTCTCGAGTAAAGGTGCTTTCGCGCTATCGCTACAATATCGCTCCCACTGTCAATTGAAATATTTCGAAAACTATTGAGAAGTCATCGAGTCCTCCAGTGTAACAAATGTAGGGAATTTAGCATAGCAAATAACAGAGTGGTTTTCAACTCACATATCTACGAGTCGTAGTTGTCAGGATGCCGACGTTTATAGATAGGAGCAACCCACAGTGCACGCGCTCCCTCAGAACCAAATGTTTTGAGCTACTTACTTGCACAAATGATAACCTCTCGAGAACTGAAAGTCGCAGAGACACGAGTAAAAAATCATTTTATTCGTCATAAAAATCCCTTGATTTGCCATGTGGTGTGTCTCGATGGCTTCTCACTGCTTGTCCAGATAATTCGAGTAAGAGTGGGACATTTCTTCGGAAGCAAAACTCACTTCATCAATTCTTTCACATTAGATCCACAATATTTCACATCCACAATTTTTTTTACTACCCAAAACTCATCACAATCACAATTTTCCAACAGATGAAAAATTCCTGGCTAAATTAAGAATTGTCTTCAATGTGATCTGCGAAGAGTGAAAAATTGATTCCCCAAAAATATGAAAAATGCGGCGAACACCTCGAGGACTTGAAATAGACTAGTTCTTCCGCGGTTGGGATGATTCTCCTGCACCGTTGGACGGGATCGGGCAGCGGTGAAGGTAGCGGGGCGATTGGCCTCGAGGTTTCCCGCGCAAATGCCCCACCACCAATGGCATTGTCCCTCCTCGAGTTTTAGCGTAATTGCGAGACACGCTCGGTGCTTTACCGAAATGTCGATGGAGGGGGAGGGGGGGGCTGGGATCTTCGTACATCCTCTTTACGAGTTACTTACCATTACATCGGGTACATGAGAATTTACACATTCCAGACACCATCATTCCTTCCTCCATTTTTCCCCTTTTTTGTGGAATTCTTCATGGGGAGATGCAAATTCGGGTGGAATTTCTGTGTTTGGTGAATTCCTACACTGAGAGAAACACAAACACGTTCTCAAACAAGTCTTGTTTGGTTCGAATTTGAAAGTCTCAGACATGAATAATTGTTGTGCTTTCGACAGCAACGAAATATTTGGCTCAAGAGGCGGATAATTCGCACCAGACGGTGCCTTTTCAGGATGAAAATATCTATTTGAGTTTTATTTAAGGGTTCATTTCTTGTCTGTAATAAATTAGACAGCCAAAACGAAAAACTACTATGCCTTGTTTCGCATAAAACAAAGATTTTTCGGAAGCAAAATACGTATGGGAGTATTTCTTGCGTGTACAGAGAATGTAATTTTTTTTTTTTCAACTACTAAATCCATTTTTGCGACAAAAATTTTTCATTCCAGTGCAGTCTCTGAATGTTTGGCACAAAAAAATCCTTTTTCCATAATTTTCAAAAAAATATTTTCTTGGTGCAAGTAAGACTTGTTTGAAAACTTTGTCGTATTTCTCTCAGTGTAGGGACATCGCGTTACCATTCATAATACATTCATCCTACATTTTTTAAAATCATTGATTCAAAATCATTTGCATTTCCAAGTGACAGATGAAGTGTTGAAACTAATTAATTAGTTGAAAATCTAATTAATTCGTCTCGTTTCACCAGTTTATTTTTGAAATCTCCCCGTAAGCAAATTAAAATCAAACATCCTTCACTCCAAATGTACGAGAATGCATGATGAATGAGCGTATCAAGAGTATCACAAGAACAATTATCTAGGCGATTACCAATTAATTTGATCCAGAGAAAACTTCAAAATTTTTTATTAAATTGTTGATTATCGATAGAAAAGTTGATAATGGATTAATTGATGAGTTGACGAATTTAGTTTGTTAATTATTGATTATTATTTCCCTTCAGAACATTAAAAAATAAATCCATCGGTTCACAAAATGAATTGTAAATGTATTAAACAAGCGTCAACATTGCATTATTCAACGTATTATTGTGCTATTTGAAATTAAGATAGTTTTATGAATCAATCGAACTCATCGCGTCTCCAATAAATTATTTATTTCACACGGAGAGATATATTCAGTAAAAATTACGGAACAATTCACGTAATCCGCAATGGGGAATCATTTTCCGGTAATTTTTATTGGAAGAGAAGAGAAGAAATCTGAGTGAACGTTGAGTGAATTTTCAGGTTTATCACCGAACAAAGTACGAAATTGTCACGTAATTTTTCCCGAAGAAGTAAAATCTTACAGAAACTTGCCGAATTATTGTGCCTCCAAAATCAAAAATTCTTGAACGTTCAGCAATTTTTATGAAGCTGGTGAGTTATGTCTACATTCCGTTCTGTAAAATTTCCCAATCGCGTTGAGGAAAAATTACGGAACCACTTGGTGTCCCCGCAACGGTGAGTCATCAGACGGGAGGTTAATTTTTACAGAACAAATCGTAGAATTGACGTAGCGAACGTGGCGTTCAATTTCAGTTCCGACTCACACTTTTTACTCAATTTTACTTCGCTCGCCGATTACGTTTCGAAACGTAATTTTTACATTTTTTTTTTGTCATTTTTATTGAATTTTTCTCTCCGTGGATCAGGAAAGTTGAGGATGTCACAACCTCCATTTTAATTATAAAATTTATTGTCGAATGGTTTGAAAATTCGCCTGGGAGATCTCTCCCCCCCTCATCCCTCCGAGATCCTTAATTTCCCCTCTTGACGAATTACTCGCAAAATGAATGAGCGAGGAACGATTCAATTTTCGATAATTCTCGGTAGAGAATGATGCGGAGGAATGGAATAAGCCTCGAATACCGGGGATTAACGAGTGTGGGTAAAGGACGGAGGAGATGAGAAGGTGGAGATTCTTCAAAGATCGGCATCTCCTGGTCGCACGCTCCGGGCGCAGGGGATATTTCGGCCGGATTCTTCGGCTTCCACGTTCCCATCGTCGGGTCAGGGGTCACGGGACCCTCCCCCCCCCGCCCTTCATCCCCTCTCCCAGTAACACTGGCCAACATTTTTCAGGAGATCATTTTGACTTTATTGAGGAGCTCCTCAAGATGAAGAATTCGGCTGGAAGTGAACTCATGAATTAATCCATCACTAACTTTGCTATTAGTAATTAACAATTTAGTAGAATTTTTTGGAGTTTTCGTTAGGTCAAGTCGATTTTGGCTTTTCGCCAGTTTTTTATGAATATCTCGGAATCTAAGAGAGATAGCAAAATTTTTCAATCTCTTTAAGATTCCGAGATATTCCCCAAAAACTTGCCAGTTCCTAAAAATCGCTACTAAGTTCAAATCCCGGTCGGGTAGAATGGTGAGACCCAACCATTTTTAAAAGTCTCGATCATCATTGCAATATATACTCAACCGACTCGAAGCGACGTAAAATAAGGATAAAAAAAAATACTACTGACGCCGGTGGTCGAGTGGGCTAGACGCAGGTCTAGTGTGCGACAGGTTGTGAGTTGGATTCCCCGTGGAACCGTATTTTTCAATGGAAGGCTCCGGCGAGCGGGAGGTTGTTAATAGAGTAATCGCCTGTACCGGTATGGGTTTCCTGTGGTTTCCCATGCTACCCCTATGTTCTATAGTAGTGCGAATGCACGAATGCGAATGGACTCAAAAGACCGTAAAAAAAATACTCAGAGCTACATTCATAGATTTCATTTAATCCACGTTACTTCGATGAACAATTCATCACTCGTTTCATCACTGTGATTACAACCGCATGAATTAAAAAAATCGCTTTTGTGTTAATGTTTTGTGATAATCTTCATACACTCATTTATTATGCATTCTCGGACATTTGGAGCGAAGAATGTTGATTTTTAATTTGCTTCTGGGAAGATTTCATAAGTGAACTGATGAAACAAAACAAATACATCCAATTTTCGAAATGAATTGCATCTCCCAGTGCCCCAAGATCTGCAAATACCCTCAGTCTTCCAGACGAATTTAAAAAATTGTTATTTTCCCCTCGCAAACTGTTTTAACACCCCGTAAAATGCAACAGCTAACCATAATCCATATCCACCATTACTCTTAACGGCAAAACATAAGGTTGGAATGGGATACGAGAAGGCATTAGCTGCAACGGGCCACTCAATCGCCATTATCCCATCCCCACGGGTTTTCCTCATCTCTCGAAGACTCTTAAATCCCCACTCCAACTATGTAACACACTGTATCTGCATTACGGTGATTTTTATTTATGTTTTATACCCCCTCCCTCCCCCTTTCCCCTTACCCTTTACATCGCATCGTGTGCAGGTGATAAACATTTCAGGGAGATTGTTTTTCCCGGTAAACATCAGCGGTTTAAGCGTTTGATTTGTGTTCGAGCCCCTCGCGGATCACAAGGAAATAAAGATAAAGTCGAAGGAGTAAAAAATGTGGGTTTATCGATGGAAGTAACCGCTACCTGGATCGATCCACGCAGTTTTTTTTATAATGTATTATGCGTAAGGAGATGATAGATAATGGAAATAGGGGGAGTGGGGCAAAATGGAATGGTGGCGAATGTGGTTGTTTGAGGGTCAAACGGAAGAGACGAACGAAAGGCCCACTCCACTCATATCTCCCGTTTGACCCTGAAGAACATTTGGCCCTTCATCATTCAATCACACGGAGGAGACAAGGAGAGCGATTACTCGATCGTGACCGGTTGGACCCTCTCGACCCATTTTATTTCTTCCATTACTCTACTCGTTTCTCCCGTTTAACCCTCGAGAATATTTTACCCTTCATCATTTCTTTGAATAATAGAGATCGAAAAAAAAGTTGTCTGAATTTCGCTCTACATTAGCTTTTTACACACCTTCCCCTTTGTCTCAAGTTACCCTAAAAGTTTCGATTTTGTGGAAAAATAGAGTTTTTAAATCTCTCAATTGTTGAACTATCTCGATAATGGGAGATTCTACAAAAAAAAAAATTTTTGGATATTTTTTGTAATGGAAGTCTTCAGCTACGAAAGAGGTCGTATGAATTTTTCTCCCATAATCACTCGTATTCGAGATAAATGCATAATTAGAAATAATCTCCAGAATTTCAGAAATTTCAAATTGAACGAGTCGATTTATCAAGTTTTGCTCGATAGAATTATCTAAAAAAATTTCATATTTCAGTGTCTTCCGCTATCACTTGTTTTTCAATAATAATAATAATTCTTATCATCTTATTATTTTCGTTTCCATTAATACAAATTGAGAATAATGAAATTAGAAATATAGCGATAGGTGGAGAATGGGTTGTCTTGAACGTCAGACATAAATCATGATGCGACGAGTGGGGGTGGGGGGAGGAAGGGGTGAGTGTGAGTGGGAGGGACAACTTCATGTCGACTGTATCATAAATTAATGCTGGGTATGTTTTACTGTGGGGTAATTTTGCATGAAATGAGGAAATTTGTTAGATGGCTGAGGATTCTCGAGAATAGTTTGAGTATGTCTACTTGGATTGCAGTTTATGAACGGTATTTCCACAGCCGTTTTTTTTTCACTTCAAGTAAAAACTTTTATTATTATTGAACTTGATCACTCTTCTCCGATATAAAATAGAAATGTCCACGCGCAACTTGAAGCCATAGGCTTTAGTTTAACTAATTTTCATCAATGAATTATTATTATTAAAACGTTTCTTTCTTTTGCTCTGCTCTGATTTTGAGCATTGGTGTGACATTTCAGATTTTTATTATACCCCCCTCCCCCCCAACAAATGATCCTCCCAAATTATTCAAAAACAAAAAAAAACTAATAAAATAAAAAAAATTATTCAAAAACTTTCAAAAACTTTTTCCCCAACTCCGCTTTAGTAATCAGCTCCTTCCGAATGGAATTAACCAGCAGCTCCACCTGGTTGAACGGCGGGAAAGGCATCCCCTCGAGCTGATACACAAAGACACCTCCCGATATATCAGCAGCTACCAGCTGATCCCCACTCCTGGTGAATTCCAGAGCGCAGAGTCTCCCACCAGGTGCCAGGGTCCAGGAACAAGGCTTATAAGTTCTCCTCTTGATATCCCAAATCGAGATCTCGTTATCAGCACAGGTCGCCAGGATCGTCGAATTCTTGGGGCTCCAGGCGGCAGCCCTCACGCAGGACATTCTCGTGGAGAGGGTGATAAGGGGTTCTGTGATGCCCTCGGCCCAGATTCTGGAGGTCCAGTCAGCCCCACACGTCAGGAATAATTTGGAGCTGAAGGGGGAGAACTCGAAGGCGTAGATCGGCCCGTCATGTGCCAAGAAGCTGTCCACGTGGTGGTCGAGGTAATTCGTTGAACAGTTGTGGAGACAGCCCTCGTCGGAGCCCACGAAGTAGCTGTCAAGTCTCTCAGGATGTCTTCGTAGGAGTACAGCGCCGGGGTTGCGGCGGATCGATATGTCGACCTTCTCGCAGAAGTCCTTGCGGGGAACCCCGGAGATCTGGGCTTCGATCCTGGGGATGCGCATCATCTGGGTCGAGGTGAAGTCCTCGTGAGTCGGGTAGCACAGGATTCGGCCGTCCTGGGTGGACGTGTAGATCTGCTCCTCGTAGTCCATGTGCTCGTCCCCCTGCCACCACTGGACTTGCCATTGCGGGGAGAATAGGCGGAGTTTGTCGCTTCAACAAGATGGATGCCGTGAGGTGTCACGAAATGGGGGGAAGGGGATTAATTAGTTTTTGGGGGATAACTTGGAATCTGCAGAAGATGGAGCTTTTTTTGTAAAGACTTTTTTTGTAGTCCTTACTCCGTTCTACAAAAAAAAAGAATTTAAAATAACGGTATACATTCAGAATTGACATTATTTTTTCATCGAGAAGTGAGGTATTTAATAAACCTCACCAGCTCTTAGCGTAACTCAGGATTCACGATGATGACGTTGTTGGTATAAAATTCAAAAAAAAGAAATAAAAATAATATGAAACTTTAATTTGACTCTACAATTGGGTGATAAATTGTTCGATATAAATCTAGAAAAAAGGAAATGATTTTTAAATTTGAATTTATATTTGTCTGTTGAAAATGCAGCAAATAATTCATCATTAAAAGTTACCGGCCTCAACGGAAAATCTCGCGTGACTTCGGGACCCTTTGGGTTCAGGGTCAAATCGCGGAGCAATGCACTCCTATTATTGTGTAAATTAAAAATTCCAATTTCAACTGAAAACCAGAGTTTGTAGCAGAGATGTCAGACAAGATATGAATGTTTTTTTTGGCTCAAATGAAAGAGGGGGTCGAGAAATGGCGTACAGAAGTCTTTAAAGATGACAAATCTCTCTAAAGATGATGTCTGTTTTCAATTGAAAAGCGCAATTGTGACAA